GGGGGTCCGCAAGACCCGGAGGGGAGCCTGGGGGGGCCTGGCCGGTCAGGGGAGCAGGTGCTGCAGGCCGGAGGCTGGGAAGCCCCTCCCTGCCCATCCTACCTCTGGATGCGGATGCTCTGGTCTTGGTGGCCCTGAGTAGCTATCATCACGTCAGCCTCGTCCAGGACGAACACCTTGATCTTCTTGGGGTCGATGAACTTGAGCTTGGAGCACCAGTCCAGGACGGTCCCAGGAGTGCCGATGACAATCTGCTCACTGATCTTCTGCCCTCTTTCCACTGTGGACACCCGAGAGTTTTCTATGAGTATTTCAAAGGCAAAGCCAGCCCTAGAAATAACAAGCCCTGCCCATCATTCTGGCACTAGCGGAAAAAGTGAATTTCAGATTTCAAAACACACATGTGTATTACCCTGGAGTCTAGGTTGATTCTACTGTGAAGTGGGCAGAATGACAGCTGTCTCGGTGCATGGTGCTCCGGATTAAAATCCCACACAGATGGGGGTCAGCAGGTGACCCTGTTGTTGGGTTGCTGGACTCCCACATGGCCAATCGCAGTTTGAGTCCCAGGCCTGGTGGCTTGCTTTCTCACTTTACCTTTCTGTCTCTCTGGTCAAATTATAAAAAAAAAAATAACAATAAAATAAAATAAAAAATTCTTTTTTTTTTTTTTTAAGAGAAAATTTGTTGTTATGGGGTGCATGTGCTCACTGGAGAGACAGAGAGACAGAAAGGGAGAAATCATTCCCCAGGAGGTTGGCCATGCTACAATCCCTTTTCCTCCAGTCTCCTCTCAGGATCTTGGGCACGCATGCACACACACCTGGCATGAGTTTTTTTTGTTTGTTTGTTTGTTTTTGAGAGGTTTTTGCTATAGGGTGTGTACACTCGCCAGAAAGACAGAGAGACAGAAAGCGAGAAATCACCCCCCGGGGGGTGGCTACGCTGCAATCCCTTTTCCTCCATTCTCCTCTCAAGATCTTGGGCACACACACATACACACCCAGCGCTTAAGCCACCAGGTCCAGGACTCAAACCGCGGTTGACTATATGGGAGGCCAGTGATATAGCCATTACACCAACTGCTGGTCCCCACTTTTTTTAATTGCCAGAGGGTTCATATGCTTGCAGGGGAAGTGGGGTCTGAAAGCAGCCCCCAATGGAGTATGATCACGTGACAATCTCTTCTTCATTTCTCCATCCTGTTGTGATTTGGGGTACTCAATGTCCAGTCCAGTGTGTTTTTCAAGTCAACAGGACCAGGATTTGAACTGCAGTGGATCAAGTGGGATCCAGCTCCCTTAACCACTAGGCTGTGGCGTCAGTCCCAAATCCTAATGACCAACGCTCCCACTCGTGACGTTCACACTGTGCTCCTATTGTGAAGTGACAACCAGCAAAAGGTAACTTACTAAGTAAAACACACATAAGTATGACAGTGTTCAGGAACTGATATAACATGATCTCACACACATTATTGAAAGTAAAAATATCAGAAGTTGTATACCAAAAAAGGTGAAAAGGCAACCAGCACATGGCGTAACAGTTATGTCACTGGGACACCCACGTGTTTACCACGGTTCGAGTCCCAGACGCAGTGGCTTGAAACTCACAGCAGGTGCTTGTGTGTGTGCTTGCATGCCCAAAATTGTGAGAGGAGACTGGAGGTAGAGGGATTACGAGTGTCCATTCCCTTTTGTTTTCTGTCTGACTCTCTGGTGAGCACACGCACTCTATAGCAAATATCATAAATAAATCTTTACTTACCTTCTCCTCTTGGGATTTTGAACACACATGTACATGGACTCAGTGTTTTTCAAGCCACTGGGTCTGAGACACAGTAGGACAGGTGGAATCCAGCCACTTCAACCACTGTTGCTAGCTGGCCCCATGTAATTTTTACACGTCATGTAATGAAATGGGTCCACATATCTCAGTACACCAGTATTTTCCAAATAAACAAGGCAAATCAGAAAATCATTCCTGAGTGGGGTTGGCAGGTGCATGGTGGTTAAGGCGCTGGACACTCCCACATGGCCGACCAGGGTTGGAGTCCTAAATCTGGTGGCTTGCTTTCTCACTTCCTCTCTCTCTCACTCTCAACCTCTGTCTCTCTCTGGTCAAATGAACAAATAAATGAATAAATAAATTAAATAAAATAAAGAGCTATCTAAAAAAAGAAAAATGTTTAAAAAAAAAAAAAGTGCTGGACTCTGACATGGCTGACTACAGTTCAAGTCCTGGACCTGGCAGCTGGCTTTCTCAATTTCTGTCCCTCTCTGGGCAAATCAAAATAAATCAATAAAGTTAAATAAGATAATTCTTTCAACAAAAGAAAATCATTCCTGAGCAAAAGACACATTCAAATCCAAGACTTGAGCTATTTGCTTTAGTGCACGCCTGTTTGCTAGACAGATACACAGAGAGCAACTAAAAAATCATGCCCAGGAAGGATGGCCATGCCACAATCCCTTCTCTTCCATTCTCCTCTTGGGATTTTCAGCACGTGCACACACACATACCAGGAATGAGCTTCAAGCTGCTGAGTCCAGGACTCTTAACTGTGGTTAATCATGTGGGAGTCCTGCGCCTTAACCACTATGCCACCGGCTAAGCTAGCCCCCAAGACAGCCTGTTTTGAGAGGTTTTTGCTATAGGGTGCGTGCATGCGCCAAAAAGACAGAGAGAGACAGAGAGACAGAAAGCGAGAAATCACCTCTGGGGGAGATGGCCATGCCGCAATCCCTTCTCCTCCTTTCTCTTCTCAGGATCTTGGGCACGCACGTACACACGCCCTGCATAAGTTTAAGCCACTGGGTCTGGGACTCAAACTGCAGTCGACTACATGGGAGCCCAGCGACATAACCATTATGCCAACTATTAGTCCCCCCAAGACAGACTTTCTAATGTAACTTTTATATAACACAGTACAGAAAGGTCATGAATACTGTCAGATAAGAATTATAGGAGGTGGGAACCAGCAGTTAGCGTAATGGCTATGTCGCTGGATTCCCACGTAGTCGACTGCGGTTCGCGTCCCGGACCTGGTGGCTTAGAACTCACGCCAGGCGCATGTGCGTGCGTGCCCAAGATCCTGAGAAGAGAAAGGAGGAGAAGGGATTGTGGCGTGACCATCCCAGCCTGGGGGGTGATTTCTCGCTTTCTGTCTCTCTGTCTCTCTCTGTCTGTCTGGCGAGCGCATGCGCCCTATAGCAAAAAACCTCAAAAAAAAAAAAAAAGAATTATACGAGGTGGGGCTGGCAAGTGGCATGGTGGTTCAGGGTGATTCTCTGGTCAAATTAAAATTATAATAATGAATAAAATAAAATAATTCTTAAAAAAATTTTATAAGAGGGCAGTCATTGTTTTGGATTAAGCTCCTGCATAAGGTCCCAAGAGACTACACTAAAAATCAAAATGGAGTTACTCATGCTTAAGTTCCATGTCACCAAGCTAAAACTAAGTTCTCTGAGCTATCACAAGAGAAGTAACAGTTAATGGGAATAATAATAAAGTTCTCTCTGACTTTTTTTATAAGTTTTTTTTAAGAATTACTTTATTTCATTTTATTCATCACCTTTTTTAAAAGAATTGTTTTTATTTAATTTTATTGATTCATTCATTTATTTTAATTTGACCAGAGAGAGACAGAGAGAGAAAGAAAGTGGGAAAACAAGCCACCAGGTCCGGACTCGAACCATGGTCGCCCATGTGGGAATGTCCAGTACTTTAACCATCACACCACCTACCGGTCCCCATCACTACTTTTTTTTTTTTTTTTTTTTTTAATTTGACCAGAGAGAGAGACAGAGAGAGAGAAAGAGAAAGTGAGAAAGCAGGCACCAGGTTTGGGATTCGAACTATGGTCAGTCATGTGGGAGTCCAGCACCTTAACCACTATGCCTCCCGCTGGCCCGTTCCCTCTGCTTTTAATGCTTATATCCTTTACTCTTTTAGTTCTTATAAGTAGCCTGGTGTTGACCAAATGATATTTTTCTGTTGTTCTGTGTTCCTGTCCCTGTCATGCCAACTTTGAAACGGTCAATCGCTTTTTGTTCTTTCTGCTTTCTTTGGTTCTTCTCTGTCTATAAAACCAAGTTCCTCTGCTGAGCTCAGTAGAATACTTATTTTATGGAATGAAATGATGCCCAATTCTGGAATTGCAACTAAAAGCTTCAAAATAAATTTTCATTTTGTCATCAGACAATATGAACTCTAGATCTTAAGAACCCCATGAGCTGTGCAGAGATTTTTTAAAAGAGCAATTTAAGATCTTATTTTAGGGTCAGCCCCATGGCCTAGTAGTTAAGGGAGCCGGTGGCAAGCTGGAATCCTGGCCCCAGTGGCTTGAGAAACACTGGGCTGTGTGCATATGTGCCCCAAATGCAGACAGGACGAGAAGGGATTAAAGTACGATCATGCCCCATTGGGAGAACCTGTCCTCCCACTCTCTCTCTGAAGGATGCATATGATCGCTGGCAAATTAAGAAAAAAATTATAATAAGCTTGGAGAGGGCTGGGTGACAAATAAGCAGGCATTTAAAAAAATTTGCTAATGGGGCCAGCAGGTGGCGTGGTGGTTGGAGCTAGACTCCTGCATGGCCGACCAGTTTGAATACTGGACCAGGTAGCCTGGCGTGCCTTTTCTCTCTCTCTCTCATCTCTCTCTGGTGAGCACACATACCCTATAGCAAATCGAAGAACTAACAATAATAAAGTGAAATAAATTTCAAAAAAATAAATAAAAGGATTTGCTAAAAGCAACGTTCTTGGGCTAGGTCATCACACCTTTGAAATTCATACACCAACCACCCCCCTGCCCACTGCTTAGGTCTCACCCCTTATACTCACATTTGTTGCCTCGAACTGCATAAGCAAGCTTTAGTTCTGGATGGAATTTGCCCATCTGCTCAATGACTTTTCCTGTTTGAAGCGCCAGCTCATATGTTGGGGAGAGGCACAGACACTGACAGGGAAACCATCAAAGACAACTTCAGGAGGGCCATTCAGTACTAGACAGCAGGCTCTGAAGCAATGAGTGTGTGCACATTATTACTGCTTAAGTAGTGCAGGGATCCCAGCCTCCCCGGTCAGGTAGACAGGAGACCAAAGCCCTCAGCAGGACGTCCTGGCTCATGGGGGAGCCACTGTAAAAGACTGCTGCTTCCACGTGAATTCTCACTAGATCCGGGCCTGGTTCACTAACCTGTTCTGCCTAGGGCAGTCTAAGGCACCAGAACCCTCCAGGCCTCTAGTTCATCTCCCACCAAGGGCGCTGCCTATCCCAGGGCAGGCAGGCCAGAGCCCACTGGCTTCCCAGGCCTCACCTGGGGGTATCGGTCTGCAGGTTCCACTCTGCTAAGCATGGCCAGGACGAAAGCAGCTGTTTTCCCAGTGCCAGACTGAGACTGGGCAATCAGGTTCTGTGGGCTGGAGCAAGGGAAAACAGAAATGAAATCAGAACTGGTTACACGCGATAAAGCAGCAAAGTATTCTTTCTGGGTGGAAAAAAACTCCCTCTTCATGTATCTCTGTATTATTGAGGTTTTCTACACTGAGAACAAATTATTCGGTCATTGGAAAAGTCATGATATATTTTTGCATAGAAAAACAGAAACAATACGTCATGACTTTTCCAATGATCCAATATTATACTCTGATGCATTTTTTATACGTTGCCAAAAGAACAGCTGTGATGCTAATTGTTTTAGATGCGTACACCCCCTCCAGACTCCAGCACGCATCCCATGGGCCCCACGACAACCAAGAGCACAGAGCGCGGTGTGCCCAGATAATTCCTGTTTCCTTTCCCATCCTAGGACTCAGATCCTACGTGCTCCCTTTCCCGTCTTCATGGACAACGTGAGGCCAAGTCAGGTGCATGTTTTAGAGGGAACTTCTACACTCCACTTCAGGTGGCCCAGTGTCATGAGAATAGGTGGTGTTTTTGCCGTTAAAAAAGAAAAAATAATGAAAGTTAGGAAAATAAGAGTGCTATGTTGGTGTGGTGTCATCTACCTAAGGCTTAAAAACATGTCAACTACTCTTTAGCGTCTCAGGTTTACCTAAGGATGCAGCAAAAGCATAAAGAAACCTGAGGAGATGACAGGCTGTCTCAGGGCAGCGCCCCCTTCCCGGAGGGAGAGGACGGAATGTGACGGTGGGGCTAGACTGTCGTGTCGGCAGACTCATTTTATGTCATGGCAGGACAGGGCTGCACAGGTGTGCCCGGCATGGTTCTTTGTTCCTTTGTGTAAGTCTCAAAAATGTCAAAATAATCTTTTTTTTTTTTTTAAAGGTTTTTGCCTCATAGAGCATGTACGCTCACTAGAGAGAGACAGTAAGAAGGAAAGTGAGAAATCACCCCCTGGCAGGGATGGCCATGCTGCAATTCCTTCTCCATTTTCCTCCTGGGCTTTTGGGCACACACGCACACAGGCCTGGTGTGAGTTTCGGGGTGCCAGGTCCGGGATGTGAACCAAAGTAGGCTATGTGGGAACTCAGTAACTTAACCACTATGCCATGCTGGCCTCTAAATAAATTTTAAAATCCCAATTTCCAAGACTGGCCTGGAAGTGAAGTCACCCAGACCCTACATGGCTGACTCCACCTTTAAGTCTCAGACCCAACAGCTTGAAAACTGAGCCAGCTGCCATTGTGAGCACATGCCCAAAATCCCTAATGGAAGGAGAGATGGAGAAGATGGGAGCATGACCATTTCCCACACGGGGAGCTTTTTACTCTTCCTTTCTCTCTCTCTAGAGAGCACAGGTGCCCTCTGGCACAAAGCAAACAAAAAAACTGATTTCTAAAACTGTACAGATTGAAAGTACTTTTTCTGTAAGTTTTTATCACCGAGGAAGGCAAAAACTGGATCCACTTTCAGTGGCTTCTCCTTGTACTCGCCCATGCTGTTTCCCTGAAGAAACACGAAGTCCCTGGAGGCCCGTGTGGGTCTCAGGAACAGCGGCAGCGGTCTGCAGAGGCTCTCAGTGAGACCGCAGTCCCGTGAGGGATTCCTGGGGGGCATACTCACGGCTCAGCCAGCATCATGGGTAAGGCGTTCTCTTGTATCTTAGATGGCCGATTGAAGCCCATGGCATAGACTCCCTGGAGAAGCTGTGGTTTCCTGCGAGGCCAGGGAGAGAGAAGATGGATTCCTGGCAGCCAGCACTGTCTTAGACACCTAGGATCTTCTATTCCCTTAGGTCTAGCAAAAAAAAAAAATGCTTCCTACTTCTCAGACATCTTTTCATAGGCCCAAAATAACACCACATAAAAGCCAACCAAACCACTATTACTCTCTAATTTCAGTCTGCAACTATGATAGACTGGCTTCCTTCCTTGGAGGAATCCACTTTCGGCAGCACCACGAATCTGGCAGGCCTTGGATGACATGTGACCCCTGGATACAGCAGAGGCAGCGTTTATTAATTCATGACATAAAGTAAATTATACAAGATGCAACTAAAAATAACACAGTGTACTACACTGCTAGGCACACTGCTAGACTAGACGACTCTCTTTAAAAAATGGGTTTCAGCTTTCATTTCTCAGGGTACACGATGAAATTGTACCACCGTCCTCTGTGTCCTGTGACTCTTCCAAAGCCAGCTGCAAACGCGTAGGATAAACAGGGGGAAAGAAATTGATTAAGCCGGCTCAGGGAGCTGATACATGGCAGATTAGTAATTGGGGGGGGGGTCAATTAGCTTAACGGACTTTTTAAGTAGGTGGTTTGCTTTTACACGGAGTCCAAATCAAGAACAGAAAAGCTCTAACTTGTCACTTGAGCTGCTCTTTCAGTGCATTCCAGAAGTCTCTGCTACCCTAGACAGGATGAGGAACAAAACCACACTGGGCTGTCAGGGAAGAAAAGGCAAAACGAGACTTCCGAGTCTAACAGGCTGTCTGAAATGCAAATTCTTCTGGCCTGTATTAGTTCTCAGACACAAAGAGCTTTGAAAACATAACCTGTGGTATCTTCCCTTTGGCAGAAAGCACTGTGGCACTCACAGCTAATGATTTGGTCGTCAAGGAAACAAAGACGTTACTTAGTTGGACTTCAAGTCACCCAACAGTTTTCACTGGCACATTTCTTATATTTTGCAGGTTAATTTATCTATTTTAAGTACAGAACAAGCCAAGTATATTAAGTGACCTAGGTCTCTTTGTTTCTTTTAGCTACCAAGTACTAAATCAGAGAACCTGCCTTTCAGAGAGGACAGCTCATCTGTGGTTAACTGAGCGTGCAAGTCTTTTAAGTGAAAAGATGTTAAAAACCCACCATACTTGGAAAGCAAGCTGTCAGTCTTAGAAAGCAGTAGAGCACGCCTAGCTGCCCCTACAGTTTAAGAATGCAAGCAGAGATGACGAAGATGCTGAATAAAGCCCTTGACAAAGGAAACACACATGGAAAAGCATAATTTCCTGAAAATATTTTTTAAAAACAAGTTAACTATTTTTTTTTAAGAGAAAAATTTTTGCTATAAGGGCAAATGCTATGCGCTGGCTGGAGAGAGACACAGAGACATAGAAAGCAAGAAATCACCCCCCAGGGGGTTGGCCATGCCGCAATCCCTTCTCCTCCATTCTCCTCTCAGGATTTTAGGTACATATGCACAAGCACCCGGTGTGAGTTTTAAGTTGCCAGGTCTAACACTGGAACTACAGCTGACTACGTAAGAGTCCAGTGATGTAACCATTACACCATCTGCTGGCCCCAGCCCTCCCATCTTAAGTGTCTCTTACTCAGCAGTAACAGCTGGCAGGGACTGGCCTCCATTTATCCACAGGGGCTGGCATACTATACATTTTGCTAAGCAAAGGCAGAGAATGCATTTATTCCCCCACATTCTTATTTACCAGCTAGTTTCTGCCTATGATTTGGATCCTGGGGTGCAGTAAGAATGGAGAGTATGCCGTGTTCCTCCTACTATCCAGGGCAGTGGCATGTACGTAAACCAGTGACCCTGAAACACCTCTGGACTAACTTACGAAGGAAACAAAAACATGGTGTGGCCTTTCATCGTTCTCTGCCTTTAGAGTAACGACACGCTAGGGTCTTAGCACGATGCCGTTAATATGCTCATTTAAAGCTGAATTTGGGGTTCTGTTTTTTTTTTTTTCTTTCTTAATTCCGGAACCATCAAGGGTTGCTTTCCACGGTAGGTACCAGGAATCCCGGCTCTCTGACAGATTTTATAAAAGTAGATAAACTGTTCTTAAGACTGTAAACCCTATAGTCTAACAAAAGGGCTTACCTAATAAGAAATGTTCCTGACATCCAGAAATCACCTGTCAGCCAATATTTTATTGAAAGTTCTAAGAGCATAAAAGAAAAAAGACTTTCAGCTATGATGCATCAATCTGTGGCATTTATAAATCCCTAGCAAGAGGAGGAGAGCAGGGAAGCCAGGGGGCAAGGGTGGGAGACTGTCACTTAAATTTTTTCATATTTTTCCATTTTTAATCATGTGAATTATTCCCTAGTGAAAGGAAAAAAAATACATTTTTTAAAGCAAAAGTGAAATTCCTTTAAGAATCCCTGAGATGCTAAGCTTTATAGCGGAGGACCTGGCAAGGAAGCTGTCCAGGGGACTGAATACTCACAGTCGAAGCTCTTCAAAAGACTTCACTGAGTAGAGGGGAGAGTTTGGGTCCCGCTGCAGGACCTCCACCTGGTTCGTGTTATCCACAAGGTTGCTTCTGATAAGCTTGTTGAGTAAGGACTGGGCAGCTTTGTCCTCTGGGAAAAAAAAAAAAAAAACACAGTAGATTTTCTTCCTATTCATTGGCAAAACTCACCTTCTAAAACCACTCTCCTCCAAACCAGCACCTGGGCAGTGAAGCACGGCAGGAGAAAAACCAAACCACAGCAGTAATTCCTGACCAGCAGATTCTAAAGGCTGAGCTGCCCAGGACGTGTTTCCACAGTCCGCTGGTTCTCTCTCAAACCTTCACTATGCCTTCTCCTCTCATGCTCAGGACCACGGCCACACGCCCACCTATACGTGTGCGCATCCTCTCCACCCTGACCCCCGCAGCGATAAAGGAGCAGCCTAGGTGCCAGGGCAGGGCTCCTACTTGTCCACTAGGGCCCACCTCTTCCTGCCCCCAGGGTACTTCTCTGGCTCCGGCTCCCAGTGTCATTAGTGTCCACCTCTGCTGGACCATCCCATCAGCAAGAGAACCTGTGTTAACATTTCTCATCGACCTGCTTCCTCCTTTCTCCTACAGCCCCATCCATGACTGCCCATTCCGGAATAAGAACTACCTGTACCCACTTTCTCTCCGTCCCTTCTCCACTGTGTATACACTGAACAGGTTTTTTCTTTTACCTCTGCACTTGACCTCAGTAGGCCTTGTCAAGCTCACCAATAACTTGCACACAGCCATGATCTAATGGTCATCACGTTCTTCTCTTCATTGACACCTGTATTTGACACCTGACTTTGGAAATACTGCCTCTGACTTCTTCTGCCTCACTGACTGCTCCTTGTCAGTCTCCTTTGCTGAATCGTCCTTATCTCCCTGACCCTATACTCAGAGTGCCTCTGGCCCCAGGAAGGCAAGCCTGGGGTCGCGCTCGCTCTAGCCACAGGGCTCTGAATAGTAGTTACCTTTCTCTTCTTCATCTTTCTCTGCAGTGGTACTGGTTTTGACAACACCTACACAAGAAAAAAATGTCATATTTAGAAAGGTACTATTAAGACCATCTAAACGGTGGGACAATGTAATACTAAAACTTTATGAGATAAAATGCAAACAGTTGGCATTTATGTTTAGTTCTGAGAAATAGAAATTTAACCACCAGCAGGAGGCATGGTAGTTAAAGAGACTGGATCCCACCTAGCTAACTCTGTGGGTTCAAGTCCTGGACCTAATCTGAAAAATATGCTGGACACCTGTGCTCATGTGCCCAAAATCCTGAAAAGAGAATGGAGAAGAGATTGCAGTGTGGCCATCCCCCCGGGGGTGACTTCTCATTTCCCACAACCCGCCCCCATCTCTCTCTGATAAGCACATGTTCCCCTATGCCAAACTTTATTTATTTATTTAAATTTGACTAGATAGGGGCAAAGTAAGTGGGGGGGGGGAGTGAGAAAGAAGCCACAAGGTCCAGGACTCGAACCACAGTCAGCTACATGAGAGTCCAGTGCCCTTAGCCACCAAACCACCTACCAGCTCCCCCATCTTTAAATAAGAATTATTTTATTTACCTTTATTTATTAAAATTTTACCAGAGAGGGACGGAGTATAAGAGAGAGAGGAAGGGAGGGAAGGAGGGAGAATAAGCCACCAGTTTTGGAATGTGAACTGCAGTCAGCCATGTGGGAGTCCAGTGCCCTTAACCACCATGCCACATGTTGGCTCCTGTATGTATGTATGTGTATATATATATATTTTTTTAAATTTTTATTTGGGACCAGCAGTTGGTGTAATGGCTATGTCACTGGACTCCCATGTAGCCGACTGTGGTTCAAGTATCGGATCAGTGGCTTAAACTCACGCAGGGCACGTGTGCGTGCGTGCCCAAGATCCCGAGAGGAAAATGGAGGAGAAGGGATTGCAGTGTGGCCATCTCCCTGGGAGATGATTTCTCACTTTCTGTTTCTCTCTGTTGTTCTATATATATATATGTATATATATTATTTATAGGACCAGCAGATGGCATAATGGTTATGTTGCTGTATTCTCTATATGGCCAACCAAAATTCAAGACCAGAAACTGGAGGCTTGAAACTCACATTGGGTGCATAAGAGTGTGTGCCCAAAATCCCAAGAGGACAATGGAGAAGAAGAAATTGTAGCGTAGCCAATCCCCCGGGGGCGGGGGTGGTGGTGGTGTGATTTCTCACTTTCTGTCTCTCTCTGCATCTTTGGCAAGTGCATACACATTATAACAAAAAAAAAAAAAAAAAAATCTCTCTAAAAAAAAAATAAGAACAGACACTACTATTGAGGTCACGAGAAGGTGTAGTGGTGACGTCAGTGGACTTTCACATGGTCAACTGTGGTTCGAGTCCTGGACCCAGCGGCTTCAAAGTCATGCTGGGTACACGTGTGTGTGGGAGAACAAAGAAGAGATTGTGACATGGCCACCCCTCCCAGGGGTGAGTTCTCACTTTCCCTGTCAGTCTGTCTCTCTCTCCCCATCAAGCAAACATGCTCTAAAGCAAAACCCTCTTATTAAATAAATAAATAAATAAACACGAAAAAACAGATACTACACTTGATCTTAGCCAAAAGGCCGAGAAGCGATAGAACTTTAAAAAAGAAAATACGTGTGCATGTGCATGAGAAAAAAAAAAGAGCCATGGGGCTCAAACACCCCCCACGTCCTTCTAGGCAGCCAGCCTGCCAGGATCCTGGGCATGCACATAGGCACCTGGGCTGATGTTCGGAACCACCATTACGCCATCTGCTGGCAGGGCTTCCAGCCATGGCTGGTATGTGTTGTCCAGCACTGCAGTTAGGCGTCCTGCTGAGCCACAGGCTAGGCCTGTTCCTGGAAGTTTTTGCTTGCCCTTGCTTAGGGCATGTACATGAGAGAGAGAGAGAGAGAGAGAGAGAGATCACCCCCACACGGGGAGGGCCGCACTGCAATCCCTTCTCCAGTCTCCTCTCAGGATTTTGGGCATGTACACACATACACCTGGTGTGGCTTTCAAGCTATCAGGTCCATAACTCAAACCAAGCGGCTGGCCATGTGGGATCCAGCGCCTTAACCTCCATGCTGCCAGCTGGCCCTATTTCTAAGAAGTTTTTATGTGCATAAGAAAAATTAAAATTTCTGTAAATCTGGACTAATTTCAGAATGATTATAATACATCACCTCTGAGTCACTCTAATTTTTATTTTACTTATTTATTTTTTAAATAATTATTTTATTTAACTTTATTTATTATTTTAATTTGACCAGAGAGGAAAACAGAGTGAGGGAAAGTGAGAAAGCAAGTTACCAGGTTTGGGACTCAAACCGCAGTCAGCCATGTGCGAGTCCAGGGTCCTTAACCACCACACCACCTGCCAGTCCCTATTTAGTATTATTATCATTATTATTAGTTTTATTCTGACCAGAGAAAGAGAGAGAGAGACAGAGAGAAAGAAAGTGAGAAAGCAAGCTGCTAGGTCAGAGACTTGAACTGCGGACATGTGGGAGTCCAGCGTCTTTAAGCACCATGCTGCCTGCCAGCCCCCAGCCCACTTATTCTAATTTAAAATACAGAATGATAGGAGCAAACATAATCCACCATTTTTCACCTACTAGATTGGCAAAATTTTTAAAGTTTGACCAACAACTCTTGTGAGATGGTAGGGAAACAGATGCTTTCACACTTTGCTGATAAAAATATAAGCAGTTAGCGTAATGGCTATGTCGCTGGACTCCCATGTAGTCGACCGCGGTTCACGTCCCGGACCCGGTGGCTTAAAACTCACACCAGGCGTGTGTGTGCGTGCCCAAGATCCCACGAGGAGAATGGAGGAGAAGGGATTGCGGCGTGACCATCCCCCCTGTGGGGTGATTTCTCGCTTTCTGTCTCTCTGTCTGGCGAGCGCACGTGCCCTATAGTTAAAAAAAATAAAAAAAAACCTCCAAAAAAACAAAAACATACATATATATATATATATATAAAAACTGGGGGACCAGCAGATGGTGTAATGGTTATGTGCTGGACTCCCATATAATCAACCATGTTCAAGTCCCAGACCCAGTGGCTTAAAACAAACCGGGCACATGTGTGTGCCTGCCCAAAATCCCAAGAGAAGAAGGGATTGCGGTATGGCCATCCCCCGGGGGATGATTTCTTGCTTTCTGTCTCTGTCTCTTTCGAGAGTATGCAAACCCAATAGTAAAAAAATCTCTCTTTAAAAAAAAAGAAAAAAAGAAATACACACTGGGCCCAGCCTCAGTGGTGTGGTCAGCTGAACTACAGCACTGGAAGCCACATGCCCATCCACAGGTTCAGTCCCCAGCCCAGGAGACCTAGAACACGCTGGGTGTGCATATGGCCCCTCAAGATCCTGACGAGTTTGAGGCCTGGGGAAAGGGGACATGACGAGATCCAGTTGAGGCTGTTTTTCTTTCTTTTACGGACAGAATAAACAGATTAAAAAAGAGAGAGAGATAAATATATACTGACGTGACACCTATGGAAGGTACTCTGAAAACACTGATAAAAATTGAAATGTTGGGTTGGGATCCAGCAGTTAGCGTAATGGCTATGTCGCTGGACTCCCACGTAGTCGACCACGGTTCGTGTCCCGGACTCGGTGGCTTAAAACTCACGCCGGGCGCGTGTGCATGCATGCCCCAGATCCCGAGAGGAGAATGGAGGAGAAGGGACTGCGGCATGACCATCCCCCCTGGGGGGTGATTTCTCGCTTTCTGTCTCTATGTCTCTCTCTGTCTGGTGAGTGCATGCGCCCTATAGCGAAAAACCTCTCCAAAAAAAAAAAATTTGAAATGTTGGGGGTCAGTGGATGGTGTGGTGGTGGAGGTGCTGGACTCTCACATGGTCAACCATGGTTTGAGTCTCGGACCTGGTTGCTTGCTTTCTCACTTTCCCTCTCTCTCTCTCTGGTCAAATTACCCCCAGCACCACAGAATGTGATCTTCTTTTGAAACAGGGCAGTTGGGGGTCAGCTGGGGGAGGGTGGTTAGGGTGGCTGGACCCCACATGGTTGACTGCGTTTGAGTCCTGGACCCAGCATGCACTCTATAGCAAAATTTTTTTTTTTTTTTTTTTTTTTTTTTTGTCGTGGGGGGCTTTTTTTTTTTTTTGCGATAGGGCATGTGCGCTCGCCAGAAAGACAGAAACAGAGAGACAGAAGCAAGAAATCACCCCCCGGGGGGATGGCCACGCCGCAATCCCTTCTCCTTCAGTCTCCTCTCGGGATCTTGGGCACGCACACACATGAACCCAGTATGAGTTTAAGCCACTGGGTCTGGGACTTGAACTGTGATCAACTACATGAGAGTCCAGTTGACATAGCCATTACGCCAACTGCTGGTCCCACTCTATAGCAAATTTTAAAAGAGGAAAGAAATAGGGGACTATAGATGTAATTATTTAAGGTGAGTCATCAGGGCAGGCCATAATCCCACCTGACTGGGTTCTTTTAAAGGACTGAGGTGAAGCTATTAAAAGCCAGGGAGGGGGCCAGTAGGCAGGATGGTGGTTAAGGGTACTGGTCTTCCACATGGTTGAATGCAGTTTGAGTCCTGGACCTGGCAGTTTGCTTTCTTACCACCCCTCCCCCCCAAATTCTGTCCCTCTCTGGTCAAAATAAAATAAATACATACTCAATAAAATTAAAAAAAAAATTAAAAAAAAAAACAAAACAAGCAAGGAAAGGCGAGGAGGATTAGCAGGGCAACACCTGGTACTAGGGGAGAGGTAGGGAACAGATTCTCTTTTGTGTAGCCCTGAGAAGGAATTAACCCTACCGACATTCACGCTGCAATCCCTTTCCCTAGCCCTTGAGGTTATCAGATCTTGGGCATGCCTGCCTGCACCTCACATGCTGTTAGGCCTACCTGGAGATCTGAACCCAGAGCTGGCTGTATGGCTTCAGGGAACGGCAGTTCAGTTTGCTACTGACTATCACCGGGCTGGGCCCCTGTGCTATCCTGATCTCAGTCTTCTGCTTCCAGAACTATGAGATAGTAGGATGCTGCTGTTCAAACCATGTAGTCTTTGGTTCTTGTTCTGGTAGCCCCAGGAAGCGGATGTGGGCTGGGGGATACTGGGTAAAGTGAAGCAGCATGGGAAGGAGGCCTTGCACCTTTTACACCTCCTGAGTTTGGAACCCAGATTCACTTTAAGAGTTACACGTGAGTCGACCGTGGTTAGAGTTCCGGACCTGGTGGCTTAAACTCACACCGGGTGCATGTGCGTGCATGCCCAGGATCCCGAGAGGAGAATGGAGGAGAAGGGATTGCGGCGTGGCCATCCCCCCTGGGGGGTGATTTCTCACTTTCTGTCTCTCTATCTCTCTCTGTCTGTCTGGCGAGCGCACGTGCCCTATAGCAAAAAAAAAAAAAAAAAAGTTACACGTGGCATGGCTGTGGTGGCACAGGCGGTGGGTGCCCGTGAACAGGCCAGGTGTGCCTGTGATCCTTGCTGGCTGGGAGGCTAAGGGCCCGACTTTAGTATGGCAAGACCCTGTCAAGGCAGTACATGTATGTGTCTCTCTCAACAGAAAAGCAATGAACTGTTAAAAAAACCACACAGTGGTTAAGTGCAGTACATTAGGAACTGGACCCCATGTGGCTGATGGTTAGAATCCCAGTCCCAGGGAAGGGAAACACACCAAATGCCTGTGCATTTATGCCCCCGATTCTGACACAACAGAGAAATGGAGGAAAAGAGACTGGCGAGACCACACCCCACTGGGAGTGCTTTCTCTCTGCTCTCTCTGGCAGCTGACACAAATTGAAATGTTGTCAAGGGAACAGTGGCAGTACGATCTGAGTCTCTTGATTTTTGGGAGTCAGAGGATAGGCCAAACCCAGAACACTGACACATCCCCTTCAGAGATGAAACGTATCACGTGGGCTCTCAAATCCAGCGTGGCCATCTGCCAAACACTATGCCTCAGGAAAGCTCCTTTGCACACTGCAGCAGTAAGTGCAAACAAGCGCGAGTGTGACTCTCGGCCCGCTGGTAATCATCGGTGACTCACCATTGGTATCTGGTTTGACTTTCTCTTCCTTGATCTGCAAACTGCTCATCTGAGTAGGAGAGAAAGGAAACTGAGTTAAACAAATTACCCAGTCAAAGGCAGGCCTTTGAGCAAAAAGAAACTCCCCCAGTGAAAGTCTGGCACCTATATTCAGTGAGCTGGTTTGTTCTGCCTGATGCAGAACTGCTAGAAGCCTGGGAGAACCGTCATTTCACTAACAGCCTTATGAAAGGTGAGGGCGGGCGGGCTAAATGTAATGATAGAAAAAGTCTGAAAACATCTCGAATCTCTGCTCTTCTCCCACCTTAAGCTCTTTCTACAACAGAACAGCTAACCTCTATTAAATATTTATTATATCCTCTCCCCCCCTCAAATGGCAAAACAAAGTTTTCTAGACCCCAGACATGGTAAAGAATGACCATCTGGACTAGCAGGTCGAGTGGTGGTTAAGGGACTAGACTCCCACATGGTGACCAGAGGTTCAAGTCCCTGACCTGGCAGCTTGCTTTCTCACTTTCCCTTTCTCTGGTCAAATTAAAAAATAATAATTACAAATGTTCTCACTTCCTATCTCTCCATCTCTATGGTGAGCGCACATGCCCTATAGCAAAAATCTCTCTTAAAAAAAATAAAAAGATACCTTCTAAATATCTCAAATGAGCGTTTTCTTCAATGCTAAACCCCACGCCATATAAAAGCAACACTTAGCAAATAAATCACAGTCCTCTTCCTTGTACTACAACCCAGCACCTACACTGTAAGTTAGGTAAGAGCTTATTTATTAAAATCACTTGAAACTTGAAGGCAAGGGTTTTTCATTTACTCTTAGTCAGGTAGTCCTATCAATACAAATACAGACTTGCTTCCTAAGTAGCAAATGATAACCCTGTAACTAAGTTCCATTTTTCGTGAGCACCATTTTTCTATGTTCAAAGTGTTGGTAAGAATGAAAGACTGGGCCAGCCAGTGGCATGGTAGCTAGAGCGCTGGACCCCACATGATTTGAGTCCCAGTCCTGGTGGCTTGAAAAACACACCAGATGGATATGGGCATATGCCCAGTATCCCAACAGGAAAAATAGAGAAGGGACAGACAGCAGTGTGACCATGCCCCCCAGGCAGAAGTGATTTCTCACTTTCCCGAGGTCTTTCTCTGGTGAGTGCACATGACACCCGCCCCCCCCCACACAAAAAAAAAAAAAAAAAGCAAGGGAGTGATATAAAGACAAAATTACATAGGTATGTTGTCAGGCTCTGAAGACTTCCCAAATGAGCCCTGGGCCCAAGCCCTGCCCCCAACAAGAACAGTGAGTTGATATATAAGCCATTATCCTTAGGAGAACCACTTCCGTTTCCGAGGGATCATCATCCTTTGCTAAATGATACTCCCCTCTGGGGCTGGCAGGTGGCAACATGGTTGTGATGGCTGGACTCCCACATGGCTGACTATGGTTCAAGTTCCGGACCTGGCAGCTTGCTTTCTCACTTTCCTTCTCTCTCTCTTGTCAACTTCCAAAAAATAAAAATAATGGCAATGAATAAAATTAAATAAAATAACTCTTTAAAAATAAAAATAAAAAATAAATGATACTCCCCTCAACTGACCCTGCTCTTGCCTCTGGAAGAAGGAAATCTGCCCTGCCACCATAAGTGCATTCTTCGAATCCTCTTTAGAAACCAGGTTTTCCAGAGAAAAATCAGATCAACACTCTTCCTCCTGGGTGGTGGACACCTTTCCCCAAAGGAAAGGTGGCAAGGCTGGCCTGTAAGAAGAGTTACCTCATTCCACAAAGTATCTGCCTAGCCCTCTCCCAGGCAGGACACAGGAATTCACAGTAGCAGCCTATACCTGGGAGGGTCTGAAACTGACTGACACCATCAGGAGGCTCCAGTCCAACCCAGTTGATTAGCGTCTACAAAGATTGATGTGGAAAAAGAAACTGTAACCAAATCTACAATATTGCCATTAGTACAAAGGACAGATGTGTTGACAACAGTGAAAGGTTTAGGAATCCTAGAAGCAAGAATTTGTCAGTATTTATTCAGTTATATTCAAGGTAAATCTATTCTTGTCTTACCAGAGGTAACTTCACCACATAGGCCAATCAAGTCCCTATTTACCTGCACTCTTTTACATATGAATTTATTTATTTTTAATCACTAGAGGGTACATGCATTCACCAGAGAGACAGAGAGACAGAGAGAGGAAGAAAACACCCCCAAATGTGGTATGGTCACGCTACAGTCCCTTCTCCTCTATTTGCCCACCTGTTGGAATTTGGAGCACATATGCCCCAGTGTGTTTATCAAGCCACTGGAATCGGGATTCAAACTACTGTCAGCCATGTGGGTTCTAGCTCCCTTAACCACTGTGCTACAAGTCCAGCCTCCATTTTTCTTCATTCTGGACTCGTTGAGTGAACAGCCTTCTAATTACTAATCCCGTCTCTCACAGAGAGCAGTGTCTGATACTGGACGCAGGTTTTCAGTTTTGATGAGGGTTACTTCACCTGCTAACAATGGCTAGCATCGTGTCTGTCCCCAAGTCATGGAACTACCAAGAGCTGACCTCAGGGCACTTGAAGAACTTCATGCAAGATCTCATGAGGCAGCAAAAATCTCCCTTTATGAAAACTAATTTCAAAAGGTCTTAAAAAATTCTCAGAATTGCTTTTTTGAGAGGGAGGATAGAGAAAGACTGGTCTTGAAAAAGGAAAGGAAAAAAAAATGTAGCTGTTGATATGGTCACAGGAGGAAGCCAGTTCTGTCAGAAGACATGACAGTAAGGATTGGCCCATAACTTGGTGGTCAAGAGAAGTGAATGTTGGGGCCAGCAGGTGGCATGGTGGTTAAGGCGCTGGATACTCCCACATGGCTGGCCATTGTTCAAGTCCTGGACCTGGTGTCTTGCTTTCTCACTTCCCTCTCTCTCTCTCTGGTCAAATTAAAATAAATGAATGAATAAATATTTTAAAAAGAGAGAGAGAGAGAAATAAATGTCATGTAGAATGTCATATAGCTGACCCTGGTTCAACTACTGGCCCTGGTGGCTTGAAAAACACACCTAGTGCATATGTGTGCGTGCCCCAAACCCTGACTGGATGGAGAAACAGAGGAGAGGATACTGCAGCAGGACTGCTCCATGACCACTGCAGGGTACTTCCTCTTTCTCCCTGTCTTTCTGTCTTTGTCTCTCTCTCTCTCTCTAGCTAGCACATATGTCCTCTAAGGGGGAAAAAAAAAAAAAAACAAGGGGCTGGCTGGTGGCACAGTGGTTAAGGTAGCTGGAGCCCACATGGCTGAGTACAGTTTGAATCCTGGACCCCGTGGCTTGAAAAGAACACTGGGGAGAAACAGAGAAAGAGAAAGAAAAAGAGAAAGCGAAAGGAAGGAAGGAAGGGAGGAGGAAGGAAGGAGAAAAGGAAGCATAGCACAGCACAGCACACTGGGCACCTATATGTATGTGCCCCAAATCCTGAGAGAATGGAGAACGACTGCAGCATAGTCATCCCCCGGCTTGGGAGATGCTTTCTCACTTTCTGTTTTTCTCTCTGGCAAATGCACACATCGCATAGCAAACTAAAAAAAATATATATATACGAGCAAACAAAAGGCATAATGGTTACATCACTGGACTCTCATGTAGTCGACCATGGTTCAAGCCCTTGACCCAGCAGCTTAAAATTAGCATGTTGGGTATGAAAGACAGTCAGAGCAACAGAAAGTGAAAAATCACCCCCCAGGGGAGATGGCTATGCCACAATCCCTTCTCCTCTGTTCTCTTCTCAGGATCTTGGGCACGCACACGCGCCCGGCATGAGTTTAAGTCACTGGGTCCAGGACTTGAACTGCAGTCAGCTACATGGGAGCCCAGAGACATAGCCATTACACTAACTGCTGTTTGCTGGACAGAGACAGAGAGAGAGGAAGTGAGTAATCAACCCCCAGGAGGGGACGGCCACACTGCAATCCCTACTCCTCCATCTCCTCTTGAGACTTTGGGCACATATGCACACATGCCAAGCGTGTCTTCCAAGCTACCAGGTCCATGACTTCAACTGTAGAGCTGGCCATGTAGAATTCAGAGTCTTAATCACCTGGCCCTCCATAAACTTTGGGAGACTCCTTGAATACTCCACAGGACTTAAACCATTTCAAACACTTGCTGATAACTTTACTCTCAAAGCAATAAGGATAGCTACAGTATAAATGTAAGTTTTAAAAATTATGTAACAGGGACCAGCAGTTAGTGTAATGGCTATGTCGCTGGATTCCCACGTAGTCGACTGCGGTTCAAGTCCCGGATCCGGCGGCTTAAACACACGCGGGCGCGTGTGCAGGCGCGCCCAAGATCCCAGAGGAGAACGGAGAAGAAATTGCAGGGGAATTGCAGCGTAGCCATTCCCCCTGGGGGGTTATTTCTAGCTTTCTGTCTATCTCTGTCTGGATGGCGAGCGCACGTGCCGTGTAGCAAAAACCTCTCGGAAAAAAAATAATTATATAACATGTGAGTCTACAAAACTAACTATATTCTTAACTATTATCACTAAACAAACCTAAAGTTTAGGTATACGAAAAAACAGAAAACCAGTTTATGGATTCCTGTTGAATTGATCTTCATCAAAGAACCAGTATATGAAACTAAATACCACTCTAAACATGAAACAACGTGCAGACACTTGCGGCAGTCTGAAACATTAAATGTAAGCCAGAATCTTATTTTGCAAAGAGCTACAGTCAACCACATTAGCACGGACCCAATACATGTACAGCACAGAGCAGCGCGGGAACACGCTAAAACAGTCTCTTAATGGAAGATTCAGCACCTACAATAGATCTGCCTTTCCTTACAATCCTGAGAAAAGAGCCGTGCAGGAGAGAGTAGCACACACAGCTGGGCCGCCTGCTACAGGATGCGGTCCCTTAACCAGCCCGATGAAGACAAAAAGCTCGATACTGGCCTCTGAAACCAGAGCCAAGAATCCGCCCGCGGCCCGTCCAGGAGCTCGGCGGGCGCCGCCCGCGGCCCGTCAGGGACCTCGGCGGCCGCCGGCCTGCCCCATCCGAAAACGCCCATGTTAGAAGCAGGGTCCGCTGAGGGCCCCGCTACCTCTCCTCGCCTAGGCTGAAGCCACTGACCGACTTGACAGCTGCCTCCTGCTCGTCCACCGCCAGGGCCCACGAGTCGGTGGCCATGGTCCCAGAGAAAGGAAGCCGCCTGGAAGAAAAAATCGTCCCGCACGGCGCGCCCACACCAGCCCGGAAACCGCGGCCCGCGCGAGAACAGCACTCACGAGGACCGGAAGCGGCGGTGCGCGGAAGGGACGTTTCCCCGCCGGCGTGAGACGTCACCATCTCGCGCCGCGCACTGCCTTTCGTCGGCCGTCGCCTTTGCCTTGCTTGGTCCGTAGACCTCGCGCGATTTGCTCCAGCCTCCCCCGGTGCGGCCGTCAGTTTTACAGTGAATCTAAGCTGGAGCTTCGTTCTCTTGTTTCACGCTGAAAGGATCCAAAACTTATTTTTAGACCGGCCACGTCTCATAATAAATGTATACGTCTCTGTGAACTGAACAAAAGAAAGTCCCAAGAGAATACTACGTGATGCCAATTTTTGCTCATAAAGACGTGATAACGTGAAAAATAAAAACAACGTAGTACAAAGTCCTTAAGCCTCCATAATTCAACCACGCCAGTAAGTATACACGAAACAAAAACAGTGGTTTGTTCCCCTCTGGGTCCTTCCAGATTTTGTCCACATGCATCATAGCAGGAGTATTTTTTTCCCCCTTTTAATTATACGGCTAAGATTGTTTTTGTTGTTTGCCAAAGGGCGCCTGCTGCTCGCCGGGGTGGGGGGTGGAAGGGTGAGAAAGCATCTCGTATATGGGGCAAGGCCACCCTGCAAAACCCTTTTCCTCGCTCATTTCGGGATTTGGGAGATGCAGGAACGTGGGCCGAGTGTGTTTTATTTATGCCTCCGGAACCGTGCAGTAGCCACTTGAGATCCCCATACTATCAAAAATCACCTTAAGTTTTTGGCTTCCAGGTTTTTTTTTTTGTACCTCCCAACTGGAATTCGCAGTCTTCAGAGCAAAGAAAGATTTTATCTGTCGTGGTGATGGCTGATTAGTGAACCTAGAGAAGTTCATGGACCTTAGTAAACTCAGTATTTTAAAAAAAATATTTATTTATTCATTCATTTATTTTTTAATTTGACCAGAGAGAGGGAGAGGGTGAGAGAGTGAGAGGAAGTGAGAAAGCAAGCCACCAGATTCAGGACTCGAACCCTGGTCAGACATGTGGGAGTGTCCAGCGCCTTAACTACTACGCTACCTGCTGGTCCCCTAAACTCAGTATTTTTTAATGCCTGGGTATGAACAGTAGACTAATAAAAACTTTGGTTCTCAAGCAGAAAAGTCTTGAAACTGCAAGCGGGTCCCAAAGAATCTGATGTCTATGTCCAGGACCAAGAGAAACCTGGAGAGGATCCCAGAAATCGACAACAGCTTGGGCGGTGTTGGCCAAACCTTTTTTTGTTTTTTAGATTTTTCCCATATGGAGCATTTTACCAAAGACAGAGAGGGAAAGTGAGAATTCGCCACCCAGGGGGATGGCCCCACTGCAATCCCTTCTCTTACATTCTGCTCTTGGGATTTGAGGCACAAATACACAAGCGCCTGGAGAGTTTCTCAAGCTGCCAGGTCTGGAACTCGAACCGCAGAGTTGGCCATGTGAGATGTGCCACCTTACCTACACTACCTGCCAACCCTGGTCAATCCCTCTTTTTTTTTTTTTTTTTTTTGCCTTGGAGAGGCTTTTGCTATAGGGTGGGTGCACTCACCAGAAAGACAGAGCAAGAAATCACCCCCCAGGGGAGATGGCCACGCTGCAATCCCTTCTCCTCCATTCTCCTCTCAGGATCTTGGGCACACACACACACAACAGGTGTGAGTTTAAGCCACCAGGTCCAGGACCTGAACCATGGTCAACTACATGGGAATCCAGTGACATGGCCATTACGCCAACTGCTGGTCCCAATCCCTTCTTAAATAGGGTGATGATAGGTCTGACATCACACATCCTATGCATGAGACTGACCCTAATCCCATCTGTTCTTTCCCAGGCTTCCCTGTGGGTCTCATCCCAGAACTGTGTTGTACAGTGAATCTAATTTTTAAAAGCCACACATCTCTTTTGGCATAGCAAGACATAAAAGCCTACAATTCTCTCTCCAGTGCATCCCTTCATGTTCTCAATGCAACCCATGGCTTCTTAGCACTTGTATGACATGATAGCTAAACTGACTTTTCAGCTGTTGGCCCTTTCCACTGCCAATATATCCTATGTATTTCTACTAGACTTTAAAAAAAAAAAAAAAAAGCCAGGGCTGGCAGGTGGTGTGGTGGTTAAGGGTGCTGGACTCCCACATGGCCAACCACGGTTTGAGTCTCAGACCTGGCAGCTTGCTTTCTCACTTTGTCTCTCTCTTTCACTCTGTCCCTCTATGGTCAAATTAAAATAAATAAAGTTAAATAAATGATTCTTTTTAAAAAAATCATTACGGGGACCAGCAAGTGGTGTGGTGATTAAGATGCTGGACACTCCCACATAGCCAACTGCAATTCAAGTCTCAGACCTGGTGGCTTGCTTTTTCTCTGGTCAAATCAAAATAAATGAATGAATAAATAAAAAGTCAAATAATTCTTTTTTTAAAAAGCTAGTTTCTTTTTTGTGATTTGAGAACTTATGACAATTTACTACTAAATTCAAATACCACTTGCTGTGTCCCCTCCAAAATTTATGTTGAACTTACTCCCCAATGCCAAGAGTATCAGATGTGGTTCCAGGTCACTCGGTAAATATACTAAAATTCAATGGACTGTACACTTTACATGGCAGAGTCATGTGGTTTGTGAATTCTACCTTGATAAAGCTGTCACTAGGGGCCATCCTGTGACCTAGAAGTTATGGAAGCTGGTTCCACATGGCTGACACCAAGTCATTTGAAACCTGGTCCCAATGGCTTGCAAAGCATGCTAGGTGCATGGTGTGCCCCAAAAGCTGGAGAGGATGGAGAAATGGAGAAGGGACTATGGCATGACTGCACCCCATTGAGGGGTGCTTTCTCTCCTTCCCACTCTCTGGCAAGTGCATGTGCCATCTGAGAAAGAAGAGAGGTATGGCCCTTGGAATGGCCCCACATGAATGGGACTAGACCTTTTTAAAAGAACTCGAGACTGAAGGGCACACTGTTGTGCCTCCATTATTCAGGAGAACTTGCTTAACTTTCTCGTTCCCTGTCTAGGGCCCTCTTCCTATCACTCAGAACCTTGCTTTTCTCTCATAAGCAAACTGCATTCCTTCATCAAACATCCTGTAATGTCTAAATCCTTATTATACCTCTAGACACAATGACACTATGTATGGAACGGCCTTCATGTTAGTAAGAAACCAGAGATGGAAACAACAAAGGGAGAAGGCCTACCTCCAAGCCCTACTTCTATTCCTTTCCTAGGATGAGAACAGAATTCCAGGAGCACATTGGTATCTGCCTTCTCTCTGAATACTTAGCCTGCCTTCTTGGGCCTGCTGATAGGAAGAAAAGAATCCCAGCAGCTCCCCAACACTGAGAGGGCCCTTGGCCTATGCAGCCGTCCTGAGTGCTCATGTTGGAGAAATGGACTAATGCCTGGTCACAACTGCCTGTGGGGTGACATGGGGCTCTTCACTGATGTATGACCACCAATACCAGCAAACCCAAGCAGGCTGCTGTTTCCTTCTTGTATTCCTGAATGTTATCTTAGTAACATGAACATGTCACAATTAAGTTCAAGAAATAGCAATAAAGAATAAATCTTACACACACAGTCAATGAATAGCATCAAAGAAAAACCAACAAAATCTATTGTTTATGGATGACAAACATCCTGAATTGTCCATTGACCAAGATTTCCATTTGCCAGGTTTCCATGTTTTAGAGTACAGTTTATTATTTCACATAGAGAAACTTACTGAACTCAGTAAAAGAATCCCAGGACTGAAGCCCCCCATTCACCATTATCTTTACATCACTCCTGTCTCTAGGCTGCACAAGGTCACAGAGGCATGTGCACCATCAGGCCCTGAGGGCCAGCCACTGGCAGGAATGGTGTGGACTGTGAAGGCGCACGAACTGCAGTAATACGGGTGGCAACCCAGAAGCACCCACAATAGTAAGCCTACCTTTTTAGAAGACACGCACTCCTTTGCATTTAAACTCAAACTACTGTGTACACTTCATGGATTCTACAAAACCCATCAGGTAGTCTTAGAAATCCAAGAGCCCCGACTACAAACTGTGGATGTGCACATCTACCAGGTCCCCATTTCCTCCTGCTACTGTAAATTCTGCAGCAGCCGCTTCCTGGTGTCCTCCTCACACCCAGCCCTGAACACAGCTATGTGACCTGTGTTACTAGGCGACAGGGCAGTGCAGACAGCCGGCAGCACAGTGAGGAGGCTATACTTTAATCACTGCACTTTTGCAGTCATTTCAGGGTTTTTAGTTTTCTTCTCTTCTAAGACCTGCGAATGGATGAGAATGAACCAAAAAATGACTCTCAGTCTATCAGTCTATGGTGTCAGCTTAAGGAAATCATCGTAGGCTAACAGTGCCCCTTCCCTCCCAGGAGACAGATCTGACCCTAAAACACAGAAATGCCTACAAGGAAGATCTGGGATTAGAATAGTTCTGATCAGATAAATTTCTTCTTCCAGGTCATACATAGTGGCCACCCTTCAAAGGGCCAAGGAGCTGACGAAGACTCCTGGCTGGGGCTCCACGCTGCTCCTGCATCTCCGCTTCCACTCTGCTTTGTCTCTCACGTGGTACAACTATTCTGGCCACACTGAGGATGTGTCCATCACTACTGCTCACTCAGGCTATTCCACACAAGCGCACCCTGGAAGGATGGAGCAGAAGCCTTGGTGACTACTCTTTCCGTGGGCAGATGAGTGGCTCTGGTCCATTTAGTCCCGTGGTGGCATGTTGGATTCCAAACGCGGTGCCCACAGACATTCAGAATCCCTTTATGATCAAAATGCTGAATAGCTGAAATCATTTTCTAGTTGTGAAAAAACTTGCCTTCTGGGATCTGGAGATAAAGCAAAAATTTGAGACTTCTGCTGACCACAGGAAGAGCCACCTTGAGGCTGGCCATGAGACTGAAACCATAATTTGCACTGTGAATCCAAACCTCAGATCACCTTTTATATCCTGGAGCTACTATAGAGTCAAGGCAATATTAGGGAGGTAAAAGAGATGCCACAAGTCCCCATGAGACAAGACGATGTGGCAAGCGAGGGCCACTACCAATTCTGTGCGATGACTCCACCTCAGGATTCGCTCAAGCAAAAGCAAAGAGCTGGCCTATCTCAGATGTGTGCCACATCCAGGCCACACCTGCTGAGAAGAGGCCACATTCCTGTGACAAAACCCGCATACACAGGCCCCAAAGGCTGGCAGGTCCATGTCCACAAAGACCCTCCTGCTGTGGCTTCTAGGTCAGAGAGGGCTGGTGACACTCAGATGAGCTGTCCGACCTCAGGTCCAAAGTAGCAGCCATAGGCCTCCTCTGCTGCCACACTCCAAACTCCATGGCCGGATTCATTCTCGTACCCTTTGGGGGCTACCCTCCTCACTGCTACTCAGTCACTCACACATTGGCCACGCCAAAACAGGCAGGGGCTGCACGGGAGCTCCGAGGCAAACGGTTAGCCAGAGCATCTGGATTAGCATAATCGCGGGGACGCTGGCCAAAACCAGACGGGATTCCCCAAAGTAAATTTCTGTGTATTCACGCCTAATCTTCCAAAGTTGTGTAAACGTTTTCTACCATCCCCCATCATTTGCACGGATTTTTGTGAAGTCCAACGTAATTGAGAATGAGGTAGGTAGCTTCTCTGTCCTCGCCCGCCGTCTCTGGTGACCGTCGAGGCCTGTGCCGGGGTGAGAGCACTTGTCTCCGGGCAAGGGTGGAACTGAGGGCGGGCACCCATGGCTGGCGCAGCTGCTCAGTTGGCTATTTTCTCAATCTCGTCCAAATCATCCGTGTCCAACCTTTCTATCTTCTTATCTGGGGGAAAGACGTGACGAGGATGGACATGGGTTGCCACAGAGACACAGCCAAGTCGCCTAGGGAAGGGACAGCCCAGCAGGGAGGGAGCCCAGCCCCTGGCCCTGCCTAGGAACATGTGTCTCTCTCTGGGCCCCCTGTGACCCTTCTGCTGACCCCAAGGGCTTCCAGGCGCGGGCAGGGGTCCGCAGGGACCCGGTCACAGAAGGCAACAGGGGCAGCCCCGAGCCCTGGAGCCAGGACGTGGGGAGACTGTCACCTCAGTCCCTGAGGCTACCTCTAGTGTGCTCCCTACAGACATCCCCGAGGCAGGGAAGGAGACGGGTGTGCACAGGGACAAAGGCCTCTCCTGGGACCCAGAACGCCCGCCCTCCCTGAGGCTGCACCCTCGGTGACTCACTGAAGTGCTCCTGGATCCTGTGCAGGATGCCCATGCTGTGCTTGCTGTCCACCATGTTGACCGCCAGGCCCCGCTTGCCGAAGCGCCCGGTGCGCCCGATGCGGTGCAGGTAGGTCTCGTTGTCCGGGTTCCCGTCTTTGTCCACGGGAAGGTCGAAGTTGATGACGACAGACACTTGCTCCACATCGATGCCTGGGCGAAGGGGAGTCGAGACAGACGGGGGTGACCGTGGAGGCCGGGCTCACTGACTCCCATCAGGGCTACGGACGCCATCTCGGGGTCAGGAGGAGAGCCTGGAACAGGCCGGCCCTAAGATAGCCAGGCTCCCGAGAGGGCACAGATGGGCCCGCAGCAGAAAGCTGAGGGGGAGCTTTGGCAGGTGCTGACAGAACGACAGACTCGGGCAGAAAGCCCTGTTAGACACGAGGATCTGGAAGGACACTGGTGGGGGCCCGGGAAGAGCAGGCTCTGTCCTCGCTGGCCAGAGGCCTGCACGCTGCCCTTCCCCCACCAGGACTGCCAGGTCTGCAGCAGTGCCCGTCTCCGAGGGAGACCCATGCGGGACTGTCACCAGCAACCCCTCTGACCTCCCCGAGGCCATCTGAGCTTCCCGGTTACACGGATCCTCATGGAGCCTGAGGCTGGCAGACCAGGACACGGTCCCTGCTCACCACGGGCACACACGTTGGTGGTCACCAGAACCTTCTCCTTGCCCTCTCGGAAGCGCTCAATCACCGCAGCCCTCTGCTCCACCATCATCTCGCCACTCAGCAGCGCCACCTGGTGGCCTTCCTTCGACAGCTCTGCTGCCAGCCAACTCGCTGTTTTGCGGGTCTGAAGCAAAAAGAATTGTTTTAAATGAAGAAACCTGTAAAAAAGAAAAAAATGAAGATACCTGCAAAAAAGATCCTTAAAAAAAGGGGGGTTTAGCCATTAAAATACATGCCATGCCATGCTGAGTTCAGTCAATTAGCCTTAAATTTTTCAGAGAATGTTAACCGTATGCTCTGATAAATTACTTCACAGCTCTTAATATTTTATCTAGAAATAGTGCTATGAGTCAAAGACCTTCAGTCCTAAATGGTGCATATTCTTGGTGTTTAGTAATCATTTCACTGGATGTTATTTAGGGTTGTTCTCAAGTAACCTCTACAAAGGGGCTCAAAGAAGGTTCAGTTCTTCACAGAGTCTTCCCCTGCTACCTCATTACAACCTAAGGGTAAGACGCCGGGGCAAGCAGAGGACATAACTCAGGGTTTCCTTTTTCCCACTTCACACGGTGGGACACGGCCCTCCCTGCCCAGCAGGTTGTAGTGCTAGCAGCGGGGCTACTCACGTGGCAGAAGATCATGGCTTGTGCGATGGTGATGGCTCCGTACAGGTTACACAGGGCCTGGAACTTTTCGTCCCGGTTGTTGCACAGGACATAATACTGCTTGATGGTGTCCAGGGTCTCCTCCTCACGCTTCAGTTTGATGACATTGGGGTCTGGGACCACCTTCTGGGCAAACTTCCACACAGAGTCTTCGAAGGTGGCAGAGAACAGCAGCATCTGGCAGTTCCTGGGCAGCATCCTGTCAGGTAAGGCCAGGCATGTGGCGAGATCCCAGGCGTGCACGGGAGGCACCAGCCTCCACCTCCCCAGAGGCTGCAGCGTGGGGAGAAGCAGCAGCGGGCTTGGAGGGCACGAGGCTGGGCAGAGCCCCAGGGCTCCTTTCCACTCAGGCAGGAGTGTGGTCAGGGCTGACGTGGACACGGCCTGCCACGCACATTCTGCTGTGAGTTCTGCAGAACCTGACGGGAGCCTCGGGGGGCCTGGCCGGTCAGGGGAGCAGGTGCTGCAGGCCGGAGGCTGGGAAGCCCCTCCCTGCCCATCCTACCTCTGGATGCGGATGCTCTGGTCTTGGTGGCCCTGAGTAGCTATCATCACGTCAGCCTCGTCCAGGACGAACACCTTGATCTTCTTGGGGTCGATGAACTTGAGCTTGGAGCACCAGTCCAGGACGGTCCCAGGAGTGCCGATGACAATCTGCTCACTGATCTTCTGCCCTCTTTCCACTGTGGACACCCGAGAGTTTTCTATGGCAAAGTCAGCTGTCCTCCCTAATAAGCTCTTTTTATTTATTTTCTTAAAGAATTGTTTTATTTGTATGTATTTATTTATTTACTGTAATTTGACCAGAAGGGGGCAGAGTTAGCAAGAGAGAGGGAAAGTGAGAAAGCAAGCCACCAAGTCTGGGATTTGAACAAGGTCAGTCATGTGGGAAGCCAGTGCCCTCAACCACCACACCACCTGCTGGCCCCATTTTTTTTAATAGCAAAAGGGCATGTGTGCTCTCCAGAGAGATAGTGAGACAGAGGGGAAAGTGAAAGCCCCTCTTCCCTGTAGAATGGTCTGGTCAGGCACAATCTCTTCTCAATTTTGCCATCCTGTTGAGGTTTGGGTACACACACACATACCTGGCATGTTCTCATGCTGCCAGGACTGTGGTTAGCCATGTGGGATTAGGCTTAACCAATAGGCCAGGGGCCTGCTCCTCTCTGAGAAGTGCTAAAGTTACTGGGTCATCAGGACAGTCATAATGCATTTTTGCAGAGAAGAACATAGAAAAGTACATGACCTTCTTCATGACCTAGTAGTTTATGTATTTTAGTGAAAATGTTTTTTCCATTTGCATTAATCTTTTTTTAACTTTATTTATTGTAGCTTGGCTTTTTGCTTTGTTTCTTATATCTATAACTCCTACAATGATTTTTTTTTTGGAGAGGTTTTTGCTATCGGGCGTGTGCACTCACCAGAAAGAGAGAGACAGAAAGTGAGAAATCACCCCCCCAGGGGGGATGGCTATGCTACAATCCCTTTTCTTCCATTCTCCTCTCAGGATCTTGGGCACGCATACACATGCATCAAGCCACCGGGTCCAGGACTACATGGGAGTCCAGTGATATAGCCATTATGCCAACTGTTAGTCCCTGTAGCTTGGCATTTGCATTAATCTTTTAACGAAAGGTTGGCATAACACTATTGTACTTACTGGACACAAAAACAGATAAAAATGCTGAAAAGACACAGTTTATAAACAATAAGATAAAAACCTTTTAGTAACATGTTTTTCTTTGTCTATAATCACCAAATCTCTTTCAAGAACCTGATACTTTCAGTTCGTTCTCTATCAACATTGGCCCCCTGGGACTACATTTTAGACATTTTCTTTTTTTTTAATTAATTTTATTTATCATCATCATTATTATTATTTTCAATTTAAGCAGAGAGAGAGAGAAAGGCTAAGTGAGAAAACAAGCTGCCAGGTCCAGAACTTGAACCATGGTCAGCCATGTGGGAGCCCAGTGCCTAAACCACCATACCACCTACTGGACTCCCTCCCCTTTTTAAAAATCATTTATTCATTTATTTGACCAGGGGAAGACAGAGAGAGAAAAAGGCTAAGTGAGAAAGCAAGGGGCCAGGTCCAGGACTTGAACTGTGGTCAGTCACAGACATTTCAATGTAGTTTCTTTCCAATGAACTCTGCCCCCTTAGCTTCCCTGGCATCTACTTCACATATGGTCATGGCCTTTAAGTCCTCCACCTAAGTCAATAGATGGCATTTAGGGAACCAGCAGTTAGCGTAATGGCTATGTCGCTGGACTCCCACGTAGTTGACCACGGTTCGAGTCCCGGACCCGGTGGCTTAAAACTCACGCCAGGCGCGTGTGCGTGCGTGCCCAAGATCCCGAGAGGAGAATGGAGGAGAAGGGATTGCGGCATGACCATCCCCCCGGGGGGTGACTTCTCGCTTTCTGTCTCTATGTCTCTCTCTGTCTGTCTGGTGAGCGCACGTACCCTATAGCGAAAACCTCTCCAAAAAAAAAAAAAAAAAGGAAAAACAAAGATGGCATTTATAATGAAAAGCTTAATCTCCTGAAAACAGAAACTGCCTCAGAAAACGTGCTTCCCCACTGGACCTAGAGGACTCATACCTCCTCAGTTCTGTGCAGTCCAAAACTGACAAGAATTTCGCTTTTTTTGGTCTGTTTATTAGAGAGACTTTTGCTATTGAGAGTATGCACTCCTCGAGAGAGACAGAAGTGAGAAATCGCCCCCCAGGGTGAACGGCCACCCTGCAATCCCTTCTCTTCCACTCTCTTCCTGGGATCTTGGGCATGCATGTACACACACCTGGTGTGTTATTTATTTATTTTTAAAGATATATTTAATTTTATTAATTTTTAAAAAATTAACCAACACACACACACACACACACACACACAGAGAATAAGCTGCCAAGTTTGGGACTCAAACTATGGTTGGCCATGTGGGAATCCAGTGCCTTAACTACCATGCTACCTGCTGCCTCTCCTTCCCACATGAGTTTTACGCCTCCGAGGAACCAGCAGATGGTGTCATGGTTGCACTGTTGATTCTCATGTAGTTGACAGTGCTTCGAGTCCGAGACCCAGGGGCTTGGAACTCACAGCCAGGCACATGAGCGTGTATGCCCAAGATCCCAAGGAGAGAATGGAGGAGGGGGAATTGTGGTATGGCCATCCTCCCTGGGAGGAGATTTTTCACTCTGTGTCACTTTGTGTCTCTCTGTCTTTCCAATGAGTGCATGTGTCTTATAGCAAAAATCTCTCTTAACAAAAAAGGAAAAGTTTGTGTGGGAAAGAATAGTTTGTGTGGGGTCCAGAAGATGGCGTAGCAGTTACAGTGCTGGACTCCCACATGGTTCACTGTGGTCTGAGTCCCAGACCCGGTGGCTTGATACTCATGCTGGTGCATGTGCGTACATACAAAGAATCCTGGGAGGAAAATGGAGAAGGGACTGTGGAGTAGCCATCCCCACCAGAGGGTGATTTCACACTTCCCTTCTCACTGTCTCTGTGTTTTTTTCTGGTGAGCACATGCACCATAAGGCAAAAAACTCTAAAAGAAAAAAAAGGTTGTGTGTATAGAAAAAAGTTTATGTGTATATTTGATTTCCAAGAGCCATAGTCATGTTTGTTTTAAAGATCTATAATATTTAACCAAATTTTATTTTTTAAATTTATTTATTTTATTATTATTATTAAACTTGATGTAGTCATCAGAGAGATAGGGATTGGCGAGGGATTGTAAGAAAGCATACCACCAGGTCCAGGATTCAAACCACAGTCGGCCATATGGGAACCCAGGGACTTAACTATCATGCCACCTCCCAGCCCCACCAAATTTCCTCTTGAAAGTTTATTTTAACTCAAGATAGCACTGGTGCAAGGCAGAGAGAGAGAAGCACACTTAAGAGGGTTTGGGCACAAAGCAATCACGTTCCTCAGCCCTCCAGATTGTCAGGATTGTGGACATGCACCCAACCTGTTTTCAGGATGACTTGGGATTGAGATCTGTGGCCAGCCACATGGCTTCCCACACAGTTTCTACCACTGCGGTCGGTATGCTAATGGCTGCCCTACTGACAGAGCCTGGAACTACTTGACCAAACTTCTTAGTTTATTTTTTATTTATTTATTGCACGAGAGAGGTAGAGAGCAAACCAGCAGTCATTATAGGGACCCGCCACCATGATTTACCCCAGTCAGCCACACCAGATCATGGGCACACACACGTGTGCCCAGGGATCTCAGAGTAGTCTCAGATATGAATGGCACCCTGCCCAAGTGGGTCTGCCTCATAGAGTGCTTTACTGGGTCTGGTCTCATAGCAGACTTCTACAACCACTTTTTAAGTTACTTACAAATCATTAGTTGTAAAACGCACTAAGGTAGGGCCACCTCCATTGTGCAGTAGTTCAGCACCATGCACTGGGAGCTATATCCCACACAGCTGACCATGTCTGAATCCTCAGTTAGGCAGCTTGAAAAACATGCTGGGTATGTGTGCTTGTATGCTCAAAATCCTGATGTGAAGGAGAAATGGAGGAAAAAGGATTGCATTATGACCGTGCCTCACTGGGGAGTGTTTTTCCTTTCTCCCCAGCAAACACACATCCCCTCTGTCAATTAAAAAACAAAAACAAAAATCTAGGGGGCCAGCAGGTGGTGTGGTGGTTAAAGTGCTGGAGTCTCGCATGAATAACCACAGTTTGAGTCCCAGACCTGGCAGTTTGCTTTCTCCCTCTCCCTCTCCCGGTCTGTCTCTGATGAAATTAAAGAAGAAGAAGAAATAAAATTTAATGTGTGTGTGTGTGTATATATATATATATATATAAAACAACTCCTAAAGTAGGACCAGTAGATGGTGCAGTAGTTGCATCACTGGACTCCTACATGGCGAACCATGGTTCGAGGCCCAGACCCAGTGGTTTCAAACTCATGCCAAGCATGTATGTGTGCATGTACTCAAGATCCCAAGAAGAGAATGGGAAGAAAAGGGATTGCAGTACAGCCATACTGCCTTGGGGTGACTTCTCATTTTCTCTCTCACTGTCTTTCTGTTTCTCCGGAGAGCACAAATGCCCTAAGGCAAAAACCTCTTTAAAAAAATCCCAAAAACTAAAGAACAAAAGATGAAGAGAGAAAAATAGGGTCAGCATCATAGCCTACAGGTTAAGGGAACAGGAGCCCACATGGCTGACTGTGCAGCTGAGTCCTCAACTACCAACACTGGGCACATATATGTACATGCCCAAAATCCCTAAAGGAGGGAGAATTGTAGAAGGGGTTGAGTGTGACCATTCTCCATGGGGGGTGCTCTGGCTGGCCTCTGAATTTAAAAAAAAAAAAAAAAAGAGGAAAAAAACTGGTGGGAGAAGGGAGGGACAATTTTAGACTATGTAACAATTAAATATAACACATAAACACAGATTCAATCTGTTCAAAAACAGAAGAGCCACAAGGACACTTTTGGGACAACTGGAGAGGAACAAAAATGGACTAGACATTATTCTAGGGACTCTGTTAACTTTCTTGGTTGCAATAAGGGGGTCATGAAAATGCCAAAGAACACTTTTATGAGATGCAGGCTAAACCTGAAAGCATCCCTAAGGGAGCCTGATCATGTTGCAAACATTTTCCCTCCAACTCTCCATCTGATCAGGACGCTGGGCACTGCTAAACTATTTTTAAATAGTTACAATGTCGGGCAGCAAGTGGCCTGGTGGTTAAGGCACTGGACCCCCACATGGCCAACTGCAGTTCAAATCCCAGACCTGATGGCTTGCTTTCTCATACCCCCCCTCCAAACACACACACCACTCTGTCAATTAAAAAATAATAATAGGGGCCAGCAGGTGGCATGGTAGTTGGGGCACTGGACTCTCACATGGATGACTGGTTCGAGTCATGGACCTGGTGGCTTGCTTTCTCACTCTCTCTCTGGTGTGCACATTAAAATAACAAAGAAAATTAAATAATTATTTTTAAAAACTATTTCAAAAATAGTTACAATGTCTGCAATTGCTTTCAAATGGTTCAACAGAAACACATATACACATAGAGTTAAAGCAAAGAAGGCAAAATGTTAGATTTTTTAAATGTAGGTAGAGAGCATAGATATGTTCATTATATTATTTCCAAATTATTTTGAAAGATTTCAGAATAAAAAAAGTAATTGGCTAGTGTTTCAGGATAATGTACTTATACTCACATTTATTGCCTCGAACAGCATAAGCTAGCTTCAGCTCAGGGTAAAATTTGCCCATTTGTTCAATCACTTTTCCCGTTTGGAGGGCGAGCTCGTATGTTGGGGAGAGGCACAGACACTGGGGGAGAGTATATAGAGAATGAGAATTCTGGGCAAGCCAGAGGGGCAGTCGCAAAGGTGGTTAGATCCTACAGGGCCAACTGCACAATCCGAGTCTCAGACCCTGCAGTCTGAAAGACACCCTGAGCACGTATGTGTGCATGCCCAAAATCCTGAGAGGAGAAGGGACTGTGGTGTCGCCTCCCCCTTTGGTAGTGCTTTCTCACTTTCCCTTGTCTTTCTTTCTCTGGTGAGTGTGTCTGCCCTATAGCACAATTAAAAAAAGAATTCCACAATAGGTTTTGCTGCAAAGGGGAATTACTATCAGACTTGGGCATTGCTCCAGCTAAGGCTGAAGGAATATATAAATTAAAGTATATCATTTGATTCTTTAGGCTGTAGAGTCATCAACTAGAATTCTTAGGGGTCAGACTCTGGCTACTCTGATTCTGAATACAGCTACTGACCACTGCAGTACAAAAACTCATTCTTAGGGACCAGCCCCACAACACAGTGGGTTAAGGGAGCTAGATCCTACATGGCCGACTGTGGTTTGAATTCTGGTCCTGATGGCTTGAAAAGCATACCAGGCTTTGTGCATGCCCCGAATTCCACCAGGATAAAGAAATGGAGGGGAAGGTATTGCAACATAACCATGCCCCATTGGTAGATGGTTTCTTCCTCCCTCTCTTTCTCTGTCTCTCACTGGTGAGGAAACATGACCTCAGACAATGAAGAAAAAAGTGAAGAGCTGGTTGGGACCAGCAGTTGGCATAATGGCTATGTCACTGGATTCCCATGTAGTTGACCGTGGTTCGAGTCATGAACTCGGTTGCTTAAACTCATGCTGGGTGTGTGTGCGTGCGTGCCCAAGATCCCGAGAGGAGAATGGAGGAGAAGGGATTGTGGCATGGCCATCCCCCCTGCGGGGTGATTTCTCACTGTCTATCTCTCTGTCTTTTTTTGTCTTTCTGGTGAGCGCACGCACCCTGCAGCAAAAACCTCTCCAAAAAAAAAAAAAAAAAAAAAAACCAGTAAAGAGCTGAAATTCCCATTGGACATTAACTTTCTTTTCACTTAGAAAGTTCTAAGAAATTTCCATTGGGTAACACTTATAAATGAAGTACGGTTTTTTTTGTTTGTTTGTTTTTTTACCTTCATTTTAAGAAAATGTTGCCAGAAGGTATATGTGCTTGCAGGAAAGAGAGAGAAGGAGAAAGCACCCACTCATGCAGCATGACCATGCTGCATCCTTTCTCCTCCACTTCTCCTTTCGGGATTTTGGGCATGCATGCACATGTGCCTAGAGTATCCTTTAAGCTGCTGGGTCCAGAACCGAATTGCATGGTCCGCCCTATGGGATTCAGCCACCTCAACTACCACACCACTGGATGGCCCCAAAGGAGTTTTTAAGTAAAGGAGCCAAGTGGTAACCCAAAACTGGCAGAAAGGAGCAAGATTTATGCTACCACCAGAAGATCAGCATATATTACTTGTGCTAGAATTAAAGAGTTCTCATTTGTGCAAAAAGTATTACACAGCTTTTTGATCTATCAAATAGAATTCCCTTTTTAGCTGAGCATTAGTAGAAAGCCTGAGCTCACCAAGTCCTTACCTGGGGGTATCTGTTCACAGGCTCCACGTGACTGAGCATGGCCAACACAAACGCAGCTGTCTTCCCAGTACCAGACTGCGACTGGGCGATTAAGTTCTGTGGGCTGCACGAGGACATGAATGTTTAGGAGCTGAATCTCAGGCAACCATTCAGTTAGTAAAGATGCACACTAAAGCTAAACATTAGTGGGAACCAGCAGTTAGCGTAATGGCTATGTCGCTGGACTCCCACATAGTCGACTGTGGTTCGCATCCCGGACCCAGTGGCTTAAAACTCACGCCGGGTGCGTGTGCGTGCGTGCCCAAGATCCCAAGAGGAGAATGGAGGAGAAGGGATTGCGGCGTGACCATCCCCCCTGGGGGGTGATTTCTCGCTTTCTGTCTCTATGTCTCTCTCTGTCTGTCTGGCGAGCGCATGCGCCCTATAGTGAAAAACCTCTCCAAAAAAAAAAAGAAAGCTAAACATTAGTACTCAATGTTATTTACAGAAGCAGACCTTGGATTCTATAGTAGAGTTGTGTATGCTACCCTCATAGGTGCAGAGAATCACACAGATTTTATGGTGGGATTCGAAGTATTCCGTATCTTTTATCTATTTTCTACATAGCAGCCAGTGATTCTTTTATAACATGAATCAGTTCATGTCTTCTCTGCTCAAAAAAAAAAAAACCTCCTAATCATTCTTCATTTCATTCAGCCTAGGAGCTAAAATCAGAGCACTGAACTGCAGTGCCGGCAGCCCTATGGTCGATCGTGGGTTCAGATCCCTGCCTGGCTGACTTGAAACACACCAGTCAGTGCACACATACCCCAAATTCTGACAAGCTGGAGGGCTAGGGGAAGGGGACCAGGGCATGATGAGACCCTGTCGAGGGTGCTTCTCTCTCTCTCTCATATGCGTATGCTCTCTATCACTATTAAAATAAACCTCCACAATTCCTTGGGACCAGTCAGGAGCACAGTGGCTTAAGACAGCTGGACCCCACACGGGCAACTGTGGGTTCAAGTCGTGGACCCAGCGGCTTGAAAAACACAACAGGTGCGTTTACATGCATGCCCAAAATTCCCCAGAGAATGAAGAAGGGACTGCAGCATGGCTATCCCTGCTGGGGGGATGCTTTCTCACTTTCTCTCTTTCTCTCTGGTTCTCTCTTCAGTGAGCACATGTGCCCTATAGCAAATTAAAAAACAAAAAACAAAAAACAAAACACACACACACAACTTTCTACGAGGCTCTATGAGGGGTATGTGGCTCCTCATCATACTCCTTAGCTTCTACCTCCATCTCCTGTCCTCTTACTCCACCACCAGGATGGCCCCAGTGCTGCTTGGAGATCGTGCCAGCTGTGGTCCCATCTGAAGACTTCTGCCCTGGCTGTGCCCTACCTGGGACAACTGCCCTGATAAATACATGCTAACTCTCTCCTCTCCTTAAGCCTTTGCTGGGTATCACCACTTAACGAGATCCTGCCCTTCCACCTACTGTTAAAAGTATAATCTACTTAGAAATGCTTAATAAACAAGAGAGGCTTCTGGTGGCAGAGTCTGGAGAAGAGGTGGCAGGAGCTAGGTCCATCTTTGAAGGTGGCAAGAAGATGCCCCTAAAGCAGTCTAAGAAGCAGACCAAAGCAATGAATGAGTAATATAAGGCTTTCAAGTAGTCAGCCATGTGTGTTCCAGCCCCCTTAACCGCCATGACACTTGGCTGGCCCCTCAGTTTTTTTACAGAAGTTCCTTATGCACAAGAACCTGTTCACAAAAATGTGATCTGAGGGATCAGCAGGTGACATACTGATTAAGGTGCTGGACACTCCCACATGGCAGACCATGGTTCGAGTCCTGGACCAGGTGGCTTGCTTTCTCACTTTTTCACTCTCTCTGGGTCTCTGTCTGGTCATATTAAAAATAAAATAAATTAATTAATTAAATAAAATAAGTTTTTTTTTTTTTTTTTGGAGAGGTTTTTGCTATAGTTTGCTATAGGGCGCATGTGCTCACCAGACAGACAGAGACAGAGACAGAAAGCGAGAAATCACCCCCCAGGGGGATGGTCACACTGCAATCCCTTCTCCTCCATTCTCCTCTCTGGATCTTGGGCATGCGTGCACACGTGCCCACCGTGAGTTTAAGCCACCAGGTCTGTGACTTGAACTGTGGTCGGCTACATGGGAGTCCTGCGACATAGCCATTACGCTAACAGCTGGTCCCAAATAAGTAATTATCTTTTTTTTAAAAATATAACCTCAAACCAGAAGCATCAGCATCATCTGAAAACTTATTAGAAACGTTGGGACCAGCAGTTAGCGTAATGGCTATGTCACTGGACTCCCACGTAGTTGACCGTGGTTCGTGTCCCGGACCCGGTGGCTTAAGACTCACGCCGGGCACATGTGCGTGTGTGCCCAGGATCCCGAGAGGAGAATGGAGGAGAAGAGACTGCGGTGTGGCCATCCCCCCTGGGGGGTGATTTCTCGCTTTCTGTCTGTCTCTCTGTCTGTCTGGCGAGCGCACATGCCCTATAGCAAAAACCTCTCCAAAAAAAAAAAACTTATTAGAAACGTTGAACCTTGGGCCACCAGGTGGCGTGGTAGTTAAGGGCGCTGGACTCCCACATGGCTGACTGTGGTTCAAGTCCCAGACATGACAGCTTGTTTTCTCACTTTCTCTTTGTCTCTCTCTCATTCTGTCCCTCTCTGGTCAAACTAAAATACATAAATAAAGTTAAATAAAATAAATCTTAAAAAAAAAAGGAAGAAATGTTGAACCTCAGTCCTACCTCAAACCTACTGAAATTAGTATCTGCATTTTAATAAACTCCTATGTGGTTTCATGTGCCTATTAAAGTGGGAGAAGCACTGCACCAGAAAATCACCTTAGTAATCATACCACTCGGGTCTTCCAGGATCCTGACTGGTTTATGTCTACTACATTTGACACTAGCTGTATATATAGATAGACACACACACACACACACACACACACACACACGTATTGCTTTTAGGTTTTTGCCACAAGGTACACGCAATGCACTCACTGGAGAGAGACAGAGAAAGGGAAAGAGAGAAATCGAAGGCTACGCTGTAGTCCTTTCTCCTCTATTCTCTTCTCAGGAGCTGGGGCACACATGCACAAGCGCCTGGCGTGATTTTCAAGCCATCAGGTCTGAGACTCAAACTGTGGTTGGCCATGTGGAAATCCAGCACCTTAACCACAACGCCACCCTATACATTTTATACACATAATAAAATCATGTGAATGATACGTATATTCATCATCACAAAAAGATGATCACATAACTAAGTTAAATAATACAGCATACAGGATGTTACATATAGTTCCATTTCTTAAAAAAGTATACATGTTCACATGGAAAAGTCTACAAGTTTGTACTCCAAATGTGAATGGTGTTAGGGAGGAAATGAGAGATCATTTTTTTTTCTTATTTCACATTGTTTTCTGCTCTATAAAGAGCAGATATTAATAGTACAATTTTCCAAAATACTGGGATCAGCAGTTAGTGTAATGGCTATGTCACTGGATTCCCATGTAGTCGACCGCGGTTCGCATCCCGGACCTGGTGGCTTAAACATACGCCGGGTGCGTGTGTGTGTGCCCAAAATCCTGAGAGGAGAACGGAGGAGAAGGGATTGCGGCATGGCCATCCCCACTGGGGGGTGATTTCTCACTTTCTGCCTCTCTGTCTCTCTCTGTCTGGCAAGCGCACGCACCCTTTATTAAAAACCTCTTCAAAAAAAAACCCAAAAAAACAACTTTCCAAAATACTAGAAGTTTTTAAAAACAAAGATAAAAAATGGAATAGAGGGCCAGCAGGTGGCATAGTGGTTAAGGCGCTGGACTCTCACATGGTCAACCATGGTTCAAGTCTGGTTCAACCTGGAAGCTTTGTTTTTCTCTGTCTCTTGTCTCTCCCTGGTGAGCACATGTACCCTATAGTAAACTAATAATGATAGCAAATAAAACTAAACTTAAAAATGAAACAGGTATATTAGACTGGTTCAGCAAGCATCAGTGGCAATGCATTCTCTTGTATCTTGGATGGACGATTGAAACCCATGGCATAGACTCCCTGGAGAAGTTGCGGTTTCCTAGAAAAACAGAGATGAAAGTGACAGTCTTTTGGGTTGAGGAAACAGCAAAATACCTGGGGAATTTTTTCTCTCTTTTTTACTGCAGTAATATAACTACTTTAGGCTACTAAGAGAAATTTCCAGGTAACTTATAAAAACTCTAACTATGTTCATACACTGTATTCAGATTAGCACAACTCAATTATTGTTATAAGCTATTTTTAAAATTATTTTATTTATTTATTTATTTATTTATTTGTGGAGAGGTTTTTGCTATAGGGCGCGTGCGCTCACCAGAAAGACAGATAGAGAGACAGAAAGCGAGAAATCACCCCCCAGGGGGGATGGCCATGCCACAATCCCTTCTCCTCCATTCTCCTCTCAGGATCTTGGGCATGCATGCACACGCTCATGGCGTGAGTTTAAGCCACCGCGTCCAGGACTCGAACTGTAGTCAACTACATGGGAGTTCAGCGACATAGCCATTACGCTAACTGCTGGTCCCTTCATTTATTTATTTTAATTTGACCAGAGAGAGACACACATAGAGAGGGAAAGTGAGAAAGCAAGCCACGAGGTCCGAGATTCAAACCATGGTTGGCCATGTGGGAGCATCCAGTGTCCTAACTCCACACCACCTACTGGTCCCTAAACTATTTTTTTAAAGAGAGATTTTTGCTATAGGGTGCGTGTGTTCACCAGAAAGACAGATAGAAAGTGAGAAGTCACCTTTCAGGAGGTATGGCCATGCCAAATCCATTCTCCTCCAGTCTCCTCTTGGGTTTCAGGCATGCAAGCACAAGCACCCAATGTGAGGTTTAAGCCGCCAGGTCTGGGACTCAAACTGTGGTTGACTGTGTGGGAGTGTAGAGACAGCCATTATGCCATCTGTTGGTTCCTACTTTTTTTTTTTAGAGAGAGTTTTGCTATAGGGCACGTGCGCTCACCAGTAAGCAAGAAACTATATCCCCCAGAAGGGATGTTCACACCAAAATCCTTTTTCCTCCATTTTTCCTCTTGGTATTTTGGGCATGCACACACACGTGCCCAGCATGAGTTTTAGACGATCAGGTCTGGGAATCAGATGTTGGTGGACTACATGGGAGTCCAGCAATGTAATCATTACACCATCTGCTGGTACTCCTTATAGCTATTTTTTTTTTTAATTTGCTATAGGGTACATGTACTTACCAGAGACAGAGAGAAAGTGGGAAAGTGAAAAAGAAGCCAGGTCCAAGACTTGAACCACGGTCAGCCATGTGGGAGTCCAGCCCATCAACCACCACACCTGCTGGCCTAATTATTGAATTTTTTAAGACTTGTGTTAGCTGGGGCCAGCAGGTGGCATGGTAGTTAAGGCACTAGACTCCTACATGGCCAACCACAGTCTGAGTCACAGACCTGGTAGCTTGTTTTCTCACATTCCCTGTCTTTCTGTCTCTCTCTGTTGAGTGCACATGCCCTGCAGCAATATTAAAAATGATAATAATGATAAATAAAATTAAATAATTTTTTAAAAAGTTCATGGAGGGCCAGCTCCATCACACAGTGGTTAAGAGAGACAGACCCCAGGACCAGCAGGTGGCATAATGGACTCCTACATTGTCGACCGCAGTTCGAGTCCTAGAGTCAGCAGCTTAAAACTCACGCCAGGGGACCAGCAGTTAGCGTAATGGTCACTGGACTCCCATGTAGTCAACCGTGGTTCGAGTCCTGGAACAGGTGGCTTTAACTCACGCCGGGCGCGTGTGCATGCGTGCCCAACATCCCGAGAGGAGAATGAAGGAGAAGGGATTGCGGCATGGCCATCACCCCGGGGGGTGATTTCTCGCTTTCTGTCTCTCTGTCTCTCTCGCGAGCGCATGAGCCCTATAGCAAAAACCTCTCAAAAAAAAAAAAAAAAAAAAAAAAAAACCTCACACCAGGTGCATGTATGTACATACCCAAAATCCCCAAAAGAGAATGGAAGAGAAAGGACTGTGGTGTGGCTATTCTCCCCAGGGGTGATTTCTTGGTTTCTGTCTCTCTATCTCTCTCTCTCTCTGGTAAGTGCCCTATGGAAAAAATCTCTCTCTAAAGAAAATAAAAATAAAAGTCCCACATAGCCAACTATAGTTTGAATCCCACCCCACCATGTGAAAAATACACCAGGCATGTACATGCAAGTGTGCCCAAAATCCTGACAGGAAAGGGAATGGTAAAAAAGGATTCCAACATGACCATAATCCCATTGAGGGGTACTTCGTCCATGTTTTGGTAAGTGTTTATGTCCTCTGACTGGGGGGGAAAAAAAGCTTATGAAAAATATGTATTATTAAAAAAAAAAAGCATACATGGGTTTTGAAATTTTTCTGCACCAGGACCGGCAGGGGCATGGTGCTTAAGGGAGCTGTACTTCCACGTGGCTGACCATAGTTCAAGTCCAGACCTGGCGGCTTGCTTTCTCATTTCTTCTCCCCCCACCCCTCGCCCTAGTCAAACTAAAAATAAATAAATAATTAAATTAAATAAAAATAATTATTAAAAAAAGAAGAAATTTTCTACACCAAAATAAACTTATTATGATTCATTTTTCCATGAATGTTTTGAAGTCACTATAACAAGCCTAGGATTTCTATCTAAACACAAGGGGAAGAATCAGAAAATAAACACTCACAGCCGAAGCTCTTCAAAAGACTTCACCGAGTAGAGGGGGGAGTTTGGGTCTCGCTGCAGGACCTCCACCTGATTCGTGTTATCCACAAGATTGCTTCTGATCAGCTTGTTAAGTAAGGACTGGGCAGCTCTGTCCTCTGTCAGAAAGAAAACAAACAGGGGACCAGCAGTTAGCGTAATGGCTATGTCACTGGACTCTCATGTAGTCAACCACGGTTCGAGTCCCAGACCCAGTGGCTTAAATTCACGCTGGGCGTGTGTGCGTGCGTGCCCAATATTCTGAGAGGAGAATGGAGGAGAACGGATTACAGCATGGCCATCCCCCCTGGGGGGTGATTTCTGCTTTCTGTCTCTATCTTTCTGGCGAGCGCACACGCCCTATAACAAAAACCTCTACCAAAAAAAAAAAAAAAAAAAGGAACAGAAGAGTTTTGTTTTTTTTTTTAAAGTCTATATAATCAACCATGAATTCATCTGAATTGAAATGTCACTGATAGTTCAACTACTAACAAGCATTTGTACTGGGCCTTCTAAGCTAAGGTTCATTCATAGTTTTCATTTATAAATATGATAAAAATTGTGTTTTACTAGAGAAAGGCTATGAAACGGATGTCACCCACTCTTCTCCAGAACTCCACTCTCACGGCGCTCCTCTGCAGAGGTTATCTATTCCTCCCATCAATTTGCACTCAACATAAACGTAAATTTATTAGCTTAGTAAATGCAACACGATTAAAACAAAACAAATGAATTAACAAAGTCTGTGTCTCGATACTGTATAAGCTGTTTCACATTTTGTCATCCACATTAAATGTGTCAAAAATTCAAGTTTATAGGGGTCGGCAGATGCTGTGGTGGTTAAGGGCACCAGACTCCCACATGGCCAACTGTGGTTCAAGACCTAGATCTGGGAACCAGCAGTTAGCGTAATGGCTATGTCGCTGGACTCCCACATAGTTGACCGTGGTTCGCGTCCCGGACCCGGTGGCTTAAAACTCACGCCGGGCGCGTATGCGTGCGTGCCCAATGATCCCGAGAGGAGAATGGAGGAGAAGGGATTGCAGAGTGACCATCCCCTCTAGGGGGTGATTTCTCGCTTTCTGTCCATGTCTCTGTATGTCTGGCGAGCGCACGTGCCCTATAGCAAAAAAATAATTCTTTTACCTAATAGGGAATTTATGTTGAACTTTTATACAAGCACTATTTCTATTAAAATCAAGCCAAGTTGGGTATAAAACCCTTGTCAACCCATTTCTCAGAAGGCAGAGGCTCATCTGCATATCTCGAGCCTGTGTTACCTTTCTCGTCGTCGTCCGTCTTCTCTGCATTAGCACTGGTCTTGACAGCAGCACCTTTATCAGACACAAAGTGGCCGTCATTCCACATCACATCCCATACCCAACAGCTGAGATCATTCAAATTCTATGACACTAGAAATTTAAAGGCCTAGGGGACAAAAAATAAATGAGGAAACAAAGCCATTGATAAAAAGCATTTCCTTCTTTCTATTTAACCAAGGTTATGAACTGTTATTTATTATTTTAAGTCTTTCCTGGTCCAGATCCCTTTGCCCTACCTCAAAAGTAATGTTTATTTTCTTCATAGTATCAATATTTCTGATCTATAACAGAAAAATTATTCCAGCAGTCAGTGATCAGAAACCACCTGATGATGGGCCAGCAGTGGTAGTTACGGCTGCTGGTTTTACATGATAATTGTGTGATCTGAGTCTTGGACCCAGTGGCTTGAAAAACACACCAGGCATGTGTGCATGCCCCAGATCCTCAGAAGACAATGGAGGAGAATTAAATGTGGTGTGGCCATCCCCCATGGTGGGTGATTTCTCACTTTCCCTCTCTTTCTGTTTCTCTGACACACACACACATAAAACCTTTAGCAAAATTTAAAACCAACAACAAAAGGGGCCAGCAGGTGGCGTGGCAGCTAAGGGCACTGGACTCCTACATGGCTGATCAAGGTTTGAGTCCCGGATCTGGTGGCTTGCTTTCTCGCTTTCCTTCCCCCCATCCTCCCCCCCATTCTGTCCCTCTCTGGTCAAATAAAAATAAATAAGTAATAAATGAAAGTTAAAAAATAATTTTAAAAAATTATTAAAAAAACCCACAAAGACTATCTTGATGCTTGACAGAAGAATATCTGTGTAAATCATATTTTGTCACTGTATGAACACAATATTGCCATTAAAATTCTATGTATATGTTGTTGATTTAACAGAACTTAATAATCAAGTAATATGGTAACTATGTTAAAATATACAGAAAAGTGACCAGCAGTTGGCGTAATGACTATGTCACCTGACTCCCATGTAATCAACCGTGGTTCGAGTCCCAGACCCGGTGACTTAAACTCATGCTGGGCACGTGTGCGTGCGTGCCAAAGATACCAAGAGAATAGAGAAGGGATTGCGGCATGGTCATCCCTCCTTGGGGATGATTTCTCACTTTCTGTCTCTCTGTCTCTCTGATGAGCACAAACACCCTACAGCAAAAACTCCCCCCCACCCAAAAAAAAGCACACACACACACACACACACACACACACAAAAAAAATTACCAAGTAATTTCAGAGTCAGGTAAATGTTACATTGTTGCATTTCTCCCTTATAATATTAAGTACATCAACAAAAACTGAATGTAAATCTTTCATTTGGGAGACTGGAGCGGCATAGCACAGCAGTTAAGCACTGGGCAGAGGGAGCTATTTCCCACATGGCCAACTGTGGGTTGAGTCCTAGCCCCTGGCAGCTTGAAAAACGTCAGACGTATGTGTACACACGTCCAGGATCCTAGTGATGGAGAAGTAGAGGTAAAAAAGGATTGTGGCAAGACCAGGCCACCATGTGGGGTACTCTCCTTCTCTCTGACTTGTTTATATGACCTCTGGCATAACATAAAAACAAAGAAGTCTTAGATTTTTGATAGCTATGATTTCAGAATCATTAGAATAGGTAAATTCTCAGGATTACTCCTATTTTGTCTATCTCATTTCAAATTGAGTAACACATAAATAAACAACAGGGACCAGCAGATGGCGTAGTAGTTATGTCACTGGATGCCCACATGGCCAATCAAGATTCGAGTCCTGGACCCAGTGACTTGAAACTCACTCAGGCCAGGCATGTGTGCGTGTAGGTCCAAAATTCCAAGGAGAATGGAAGAGAAGGGATTGCAGTGTGGCCATGCCCCCTGGGGGGGGTGATATCTTGATTTCTGTTTCTTTCTCTCTGTCTCTCTGGAGAGTACACGAGCCCTATAGCAAAACATCTCAAAAATAAACAAACAAATAATCTTTGGCAGTGATACATTTAACAATGTATAAGTCAATTAGACATATTCATTTTTACATTAAACACACTTTGGTTATATAATCCAGTTCGCTTATTCCCAAATCAAATGATTGCTGGTATCTTCCAGCCATCTTCCCTGTCTGGAACAAATACAATTTTCCCCCAGACAGTCATCACACCAAAACAGAAATACTAAAGGAAATCACATTTGTTTTCAAACTAGCTTTTCATTACTCACCATTGGCATCAGGTTTAATTTTCTCTTCCTTGAGATGCAAGTTGCTCAACTAAATGAAGAAAACAGAGGGGGAAAGGGTCAGGAAAATCACTTACAAGATTCTGAGCGAGCAGAGCCTTGCTAATGAAGCTGGGGAGGCAAGAGCCATTCTCAAGACCAATTAATTAGGTATAATCATTAGGGTCAAGTCATTAGGATGTTTTGCTAAGCCCCTTTGATTTGTTAAATATTTAAGAATAAACAAAATTTCCCTTAAATATAACAGTAGAGAAAGATGATTACACAACAGCTCATAGCACTCACTTCTTAATTACAATCCCTAGAGAGAATACTAATGGTGTTTGCTTAATGCCCTGATTACAAAGACTTTCTCACTGGATTATCATTAGAGTTGTCACTCTCTCACATTCCAAATAAGATGCCATTTACAGAGGCGCTGGAAACTGCAGGAACGCTCCAGAAAACCAGGAGCAGGGAGCACTGCAATGATGTGTCTGGAGGTCAGAGTCATTATGTGGCAGGGTATGTTCGAGCCACAGGGACCACTGCACACCCACAGCCTCTCACTCAGGCTGCCTGGTGTGAGTCTCTGGTATTTCAACTGGGAACAAGCCTGGGCATGGTGGCACCCTAGGTAGTCAAAACAACCACCA